CCAGGAAAGGTCGCCAGTATACAATTGATCGAGATGTGGATGGTCTGTGTTCTTTATCAGGATTATTTGTAATCAATATTCAGTGTTTAAGTTTCATTATCCGAGCTCCCGCCCGCCATCCACGCAAACACACACACACACATATATATATATTATATATATGTGTGTGTGCATATATATTTATTCTATATATTACACATGCTTCACATATGCTACTAAAATAAAATTTAGTCAATTAATTTTATAACATTTTGACAAAGCGCCCATCCTACCATCCGCCCAGATGAACTCAAAATAGTGAGATGGACAATAGAACCGTGTTCCTGGTACCAGTATCCGTGAAGATCCGGCTTAGGATTGATCTTCAGTAAAACATGCTTTTCATAAGAAGCGACTAACTGGATCGGATGGTCAGGCTCGCTGACTTGGTTGACACATGTCATCGTATCCCAATTGCGTAGATCGATGCTCATTCTGTTTATGATTGGGTTGTCTGGTACAGACTCGATTATTTACAGACCGCAGCCATATAGCTGGAATATGAGTGCGACGTAAAACTAAACTCATTCACTCACTCCTGGTACCAGTGTCCTTAAGTACCAGATTCCTATCCTCCACCGACTCAGGGGAGCTTGGCTAGTCTCCTCTTATGAGAAGCACTGGGTGCTGTGGATATGGCGTGTCAAATTTAGACATGTCCTCCACATGTCTACCTTAAACGTCTTTGAAAGATTAAATGAAGCCTCTTATATTACAGGACTGATGAAAACAATTAGCAAGAGTCGCATGGCGATCTTTAACATCATTCAGCTCGTTACAACGAATCCCCTAGTTCCATTTGCTGTGAAGATACAATATAACAATGTCCCGCCTTGATGTTCCACGTCTTTCCAGGGATTATACGGCTATAAAACCTCTCAGAAATGTAGAATATTAATTATCTTATCCAAAGGTATCAATTCAAGTGCAAATACTTTTTTCAATTCATTTATTCAGTATTTTGGCTTATGTGGCCCAAAGTACGATTGATTGATTGTCACTTCATAGCCGTAACACGTGACGGGAAGAACATATGTACATCTTCATGATAAGGAAAACACATGTTTCATGAAAATTGCGACAGAAGTTATGATTTGGATATTTTTTGTATTTGAATTGAAATTGTAATTGAAACTATGTAAATAATTGGTTCGGAGATACGCATACCTTTTACATACAAATAAAACATCGCACTCATCTTCGAGAACTCCTACACTACAACTTGTGCATACAGCAATGTTTTCATTAGTACATTTTTTGTCTCAGTAGATTTACATTAAACGAATGCAATGCAATACGTAATTTACAGAATGCACGAATCAAGGTCTTATCATTTAGTGCTGTAAGGTATAGTTCAGGCTGTAATAATGATTTGAAAGTCGAGTAATTCTTTAAAAATGTGGATGTGCAAAGTGAGTCATGCCAGACCTGGGAGTATATACTAAGCAGCAAAAGAAACGTCAGTTTGGAATTTTCCTTCGCAGAAACGGATAACTGTAAACTCATTTCATGTTTTGATTGTTCATTTTTCACAAAATCTCCAACTTAACCTGAGCAAAGACATTCCCTCCCAAACTCAGAATTGAACCAAGGAAATGGTCTCAAAAACGCAACCTGATTTGGGATATGGTACGGTGTTCGCCCTATAAAATTCACCCCCAAATCTGGTTGAAACATTCACATTACAACGTCAACAGGATGCCGCGACTCACCACAGCTCAGAGGAACCAGGCGCTAGGAAGACTTGAAGATGGCCACACTGCACAAGCCGTTGCCAATCACTTCCAGGTACAGGCTGCAGCAACGTTTCCGGGCCACCAACACCACACATGATCGCACCCATACTGTCAGACCAAGGGTGACCACAAGACGACAAGACATCCATGTTGTGCGACAGCATGTACAGAATCCCTTCATGCAGACATCCGAAACAGCCCGCCAGACAGTGGGAACACACGGAAGACCAATCAGTACTGATACAGTACGCCGACGTTTTAACAGTGGGAACCTCCATTGCCGTAGACCTTACCGTGGACCTGTGCTCACACCTCGTCATCGGCCTGAACGTCTACAGTTTGCCCTACAACACCAAAACTGTCGATACAGGCAATGGAGATATGTCCTGTTCACAGATGAGAGTCGGTACTGCGTATCAACTGCAGATGGGAGAACAAGAATATGGCGACGAAGTGGCCAGCGTTACTCAGACCAATGTGTTATCGAAAGAGACTCTTGGGGAGGTGCAAGCATCATGGTATGGGGTGGAATAGGTTTGAACTAGAGAGTGGGTCCTGTGGTGTTCCAGAACCTTGGTCCAGGGAGAGGAGGCGGCATCACAGCGGTGCGCTATATCGACCAAGCTCTCAGACCCCACGTCATACCACATTTCGCACGTCACCGGAACAACATTTTCCAGCATGAAAACAACAGTCCCTCGTGTCTTTGCGAGGATTTAAGATGTTAAGCAAAATATTTTAAAAATTGAGATGACCCTCGATTCGAAATGCTTCACAGTACAATACATTATGACAAGGCTGGACACTTCGGTGTACTCCACCCGCCTGCTTTGCCGATCGCTACGCTGCCATCGCATATAATCGATTAAAACTTAATGTAAACATAATCATGGATGATTGGCCTATCGAGCACTACTCATGACACCTACCAATTCTTTATTGTTATTTCTGCAGGTCGATGAAACCCGATTTTTGACTCTCAACTAAACGATCTTGACACAAATGGATGACGATGTGTCCGCACACAACGGGGTGTTTGGTCGAAGCAAGCCCTCTGATTGGTCAACGCTTGCACGTCTGCACATTCTTTATAAATTTGCGGGAATTTAAACTTTCATCGATTGCTCAATGTAAGAATATGTTTCGAGCAATGGCTTCTCAAAAGAAAGCATCAGTTGAACTAACCAGAGGCTATCCAAACATATGAAAAACCAGTTGTGAAAAGTAAGTGACGGACATCTGGCACCCATGTATGTTTACCATTTTCATCAAGTGCAAATACTCTGGCGGTTTGATAAAAATACACCGAGCATTTTAAATTTTGTTATGATTTAATAGGCAGTAAATTTCCTTACTTTTTAACGTCCATGACAAAAGCAATGTGTGAGGATTTTCTTTAAATGGCATCTTTGGCATCAAGTGCATTTGTATAGTTATGTAAAACGTCGATATTGAAAACGATTTGCTATACATGACGAGAGTTGATTCTCCTCCATGAAGTCAACAGAGAGGTCACGTCAACAAAAAGGGACATAACTCCGTTATGCTTAGCACTTGGTCATCGTAAAGTTCTGGTCACTTGGTGAGGATATACTGTGGATAAGAACCATATGTTTTCGTGATGTTTACAAAAATGCGCATTGTAACTATTATTACAAATAGCAAGAAGTGATGAAATCATACAACATGAGAAACGAAGTTATAGTGAAATGATTGGCCATATCGAATATGTAAATTAGCTCTAAGCTAACGATGCACTAGCCTCATCTTCAGTTGATATCCTCAAACGAGGACAGAGAGGTTGCGCACGCATAGAGACAAGGGGGAATAACTCCGTTATGTTCAGTACTTGGCCAGTAAATCACACTCTTTGCCGAGTGTGTTTGATACTGGTTAAAAGAATTTTATGATCGCTTTTATAACTTATTTCACGTTATTGGGATAATGATGCGTTCATAAAATACCAATCATTCTTCGCTCGGCCTGCACCTTTGAACCCAAACACAATCTGCCTGTGCTCATAATATCGGTCATTGGTTAATATGCTCCAAACATTACAGCAGAGTAGCCCACCTCTGTTTACAAACGTGAAAAATAGTTCACTCACTCACTCAGTGATGACACAATCCTTGTTGTGTTCGTGTATTGTTTAACGTTAAAAGAGCCCTGTTCTCGAGGGAAAAGAATTGGCGTCTCCCATTCTAGCTAGGCCTAGAGTGATAAAGGACTGTCGCAAATGATAAAAAGCTGCCTTTCCGGCAGACATTGATTTTAATGAAAACAATTCCAGAATTTTGTATTGAATTTGTAATTATTCCAAGAACGTACATCAACAATTGCAATGATGATGCGTTTGTGTGGTACATTATGTAAAACAAAATTTATATATCTCCAGTGACGTCATTCCATTGTATTTATATCTAAACAAAAGCCCAAGTTGTGCAATACCCTCACTTTCAAATGTGAAAGCCTATTCTCTCCCCCATCCAATCGGCGGCCAGTAAATAGTTATGTTTATAAGAATCGCTTGCTGAAGAGCATGTGTGCCATCAAAAAGTATTTTACGACAGTTTCCTAGAGTTTATAGGATGTTTATTTGAAGCATAACAAAACGTGAAAAGGGGCGATAACTCCACGACTTTGCTTCGTATATGCAGATCAAATATATATAATACATGGACGTCTCAACGCAACATGCGTCAGATTCAATAGATGTGAGTGAGTGAGTGAGTTTAGTTTTACGCCGCACTCAGCAATATTACAGCTATACATGTATAGGTCTGTAAATAATCGAGCATGGACCAGACAATCCAGTAATCGACAGCATGAGCATCGATCTGCGCAACTGGGAACTGATGACACGTGTCAACCAAGTTGGCGAGCCTGACCACCCGATCCCGTTAGTGGCTTCTTACGACAAGCATGGGTTGCTGAAGATTCATTCTAACCCGGATCTTCACGGGTCGAATGCATAATAATACAACAGTATCGGGTTTACTTTATTGGAATGATTATTTGAATACACCTAAACCATTCCGTCTCAAAGGAATATCCCATCCAGTTATTGCTGACATAGTCCGTAAAGTGTCTAAATTCTGAGGTCGTTAAAAAAATAAATGTACGAATAGAGTTACCTACCCTTGATCAACTGGTAGCTTAGGTAGTGACGTCACAGACAACAACCCAATGACGTCACAGACAATGACGCTCTGAGCTCCACGCAGGATGCCGTCTTTGCAATTAGCTCCCGATGTATCGTCACATTTTCCCGATATGGAGACAATACCCACGCCTTCAACGAGGTAAGTCATTTTATTATGTCATTCAGTAAACATCGGGAACATGGGAGTCGATTTAAACTACTCATCTGTCACGAGATGTATCTGAATGTATTGTATGAATGCGCACGGTTAATGTGGATTGCTCTGAGGACTAGACCGGGAGATTTTTCTCAAGCAAGAGGTTATCCTGACATCAGATCACCTGCAACAACCTACATCTCTATATTCCATTCATTATTTTGATTTTGTATGAACTGCTATTAAAATAAAATATATGATTCAGTTAAATGTGCAGGTAAAATTGGATTTTTTGACCTACCAAAACGTTAGTAGCCCCAAAACAGCCCCGGAACGATTCAAGAGTTTGGTCCAAGAGACAACTATGATACCTGTATTTAAAACAGTTTCATATTTGTTTGGGTTTTGGGTTGTTTTTTTTTTTTTGTTTTCTTCATTTTTAGCTGCCATCACACATGGATGTATACGATCGTTTGGCCGGCAGTTTAGAAGGATTTGTTTCGACTGAACTGCCGCATTATATCACGAAAAATGTATACATGTTCAAATAGTTTGTTGTTATATCGTTTCAGGCTACTGAACATCGTTAACGGAACTCATTGTGGAGAATATTATGGTGAGTATCATTCATTTTGAGGACATTCAGGAGCTGAGTAGCTGTATGTATATTGTCATAAAGTAAACAACCAACAAAACAAACAGCAATGTATTTGTATTAATGCTTAGCGACCATGAAAGCTAAATACCTAAATGGTTTTCCAAAATGCAATAATCAATAGGTACTGAATATTCTGCAAGATATATATATGATAACTAAACAAGGACTTTTTTGTCAATTCACTATGTAAATATTATGTTTCATTTTATTTTCTACAATTTAGGTATATGTACAGCATGTTGATAAATTTCCTGTGATTTGTCATATGTGTTTATATAATTATGCATTTCTTTATTTCAGACTTCGAAACTGGTCCCAGAGATATGGCTCTTTTTCTGTGTGCATTCCTCCTTTGTGTCAGTGAGTACCTTTCGATCTGGATCGAAGTCAACAAAATAACATAGAACGTCATAATCTCCACACCCAGACCTGGTTGTGTAGTTTGCGGTAGTGTATATTTACTGCGATAACACATCTTGGAGTCAGGAGTTAAAGGGAACCGGCATTTATACACTGTACATGTAAACACACGATGTAAACACATCAGCTTATGGCCCAATAAATGGTTCTCCGAAAAGAATAGCATACACATACAAGTATGTACGGTGGCTGGCTGGGTGGGTGAGATCGCTGACTTTGAGTGTTTGCGATTAGGTGCCTCACTCTGAAAGTAGGGGTTCGAATCCGGAATGAATAAAATATGTACTGAGTCATGTACTTTACTAAGAAAACCCTACACGTAACATTTGTTAAATGTGACCGTTTTCTAACAGGCGTCAGTGCGTCGCTACGTACACATGGTTGCAACAATGCCGATGTGACGTTAAGGTTTAACTCACTCACTCACTCACTCCAAAAGGCATGTGACTCATGTGAGGTGAGGTGAAATTGGGTTTTACGTCGTACTTGAGAATATTTCGCTCATATGACGACGTGCATGCGTGTGTATGTGTATGTGCGGCTGCTTGTACTAGCCCAGACTTAAGCTGGTTTTATAGTGCTAGCCCACTGAGATACCATGCCGCAGTGAAGCATGAATACCCTACGCAGACACATTATACTGACTCCGAGTCGACCAGTCCTTGCTGTACCCATTAATGCCGAGCGCCAGACAGGGACCAACAAGTACCATATTTTAACGTCTTTTGGTATGACGCGGTCGGGGATCGAACCCGCGACCTTCCGCTTTCCGGGCGGACGCTCTAACCACTACACCACGGAGGCGGTCGTGACTTATGTGACGGATGGGTGACGAGAAATAGTGATGATTTAATGTAAGGTAATACTTCATCAGCGTGTGTGTGATGTCTTTAATATAATACAAATGGATGTGCAATTTATCTGTTATTTTCCATTCAATCCAGTGATCTTCGTGGGTTTGTTGTGGTCACTGAGGAAGTGTGTCCGGAGACTCAGATGTCCATACAGTCCCCGAGAATCTGCTCTCGATGCCGCCGAGCGGGGTGAATCAGACTTCCTAGCTCCACACGAAGACTACACCCTGGCTCCCAACACCTCGTGGTGGGAGGTCGTGGTCAAGAGAGAGGCAGAAGATCCCACGTTTGGACGGGATTTGGTGGTAGCACCAGAGTACTTGATGGAAGACGAGGTTCTGAGATACGACCCTGACTACTGTCTCAAGTCGGGCGCCCTCTGGTGGGAGGTCGTGGAGGCTCAGGAAAGGGCGGGAAGCTGAATACAGAACTTTAGGGGTTAATTATCCCCGGTGATACATAGACAATCACAGAACTTTAGTACTGAGGTCCTCTATGACTTCCATTTTCATTTATGATGATATTTATACAATTTTGTTGAATTACTTTTAATATTTTATAAAACAATGTGTACACTAAACAACTTAATAAACAAATGCTTTTAGAACTACTGATTTAGAACTACTTTTGTGTAGAGATTATTTATAGTTTTATTGAATTCATATTTATGGTTTATAAAACAATGTGTACACCAACACAAGTAAATAAACATTTATTTTTTTCAAACACTGTTTGTGTTGCGTATAATAATTATTATTGCTGTAAAATTATATTCCGGCTTCAAGACCCAGACGGGGCGGTGGGATAGCCTTGTGGTTAAAACGTTCGATCGTCGCGCCAAATGCCCGGGTTAGATTCCCAATATGGGTACAATGTGTGACGTTCATTCTGGTGTCCCCTGTCGTGGTATTGCTGGAATATTGCTAAAAGCGGCGTAAAACTAAAATCACACCCATTAGAATATATCGTGCCTATGAAGATACAGATCTTAAGCTAAGTATCCAAGGGAGGTTCTTGGACATGCGTTGCGTTGCTGGTGTCCATGTCGCTGGAATATTGCTAAAAGCGGCGTAAAACTATATTCACTCGCTCACACCCAGACAGTCAGTAGCTGGGCATCTCCCCACACGGTCGGAGCATGATGGTACACAATCACCCCAGTGACCGACCCGACCACCTGATCAACATTAACGACTCCCAGAAACATACGTGTGGACTGCTGAGGACCAATTCTCACTGGTATGTTCACAATAGAAGTACAACTAATCGCATACAAAAGTTGTACGAACTAGTTGCCCCATGTGAATGCGTCTCAAGTCCTCGGGGGAAAACATATTTTCCAATCGTCCTGATTTATCATAGGAGTGGGTCAGCTTATTGAATTGAGACGCTTTAAGTCCAACTAAGTCCAACGACGCCACTTCCAAATCTTACTGATAACAGTTTGGACAAATACAAGTGAGTGAACGAATGAGTTTAGCTTTACGCCGCATTCAACAATATTCCAGCTATGTGACGGCGACCAGACAATCTAGTGAGCAAGAGCTTGAGCATCGATATACACAATAGGGATGCGATGACAAGCGTCAACCAAGTCAGCGAACTTGACCACACGATCCCGTTAGTCGCCTCTTACGACAAGCATTGGTTACTGAAGATCAACTATAACCCGGATCTTCACGGGTCACATATACAAGGGCGTGAGTGTTGTTTTACGCCGCTTTGATATAGTGGTGGTCCGATTAATTGAAATAATCGAAGATCGGTCGCATTGACTAAACGACCAAGCAATCGATCATGTTTTCTCATAATCGAACACAAACAATTCTGGAAGACTTGTTTTCATAAACAATATTTTTCACAAGTTTGGTTTTGTCTGTTACATTTCATAAGCACTACAAGTTCGTTTCAAGTCATGATTGAATTTATCTTAAAGACTCAAAGACATTTATGTTCCTGACATACGAGTCATCCTTTAAAGATGTGAAATTTTGCCAAAAAAACTACATGTTTTTTCCTTATTTTTATGTGCATTAACAAATTTCATTAATGACGCTAACCACTTTTTTTTCGATGATTGATCGGTTGTAATAAACCAATCATCAATTATGAGATTTTAACCAGAGACTAAGCGTTAGTGAATCATGTAGATGAAGTACTACTGAGTGCGGTGTCAATAAACTTAATTTGCGTCGTACAAGACAAGCTTACATGTGTCTTTGATTCATGACCACAACAAGGAAGCTTTGGGGTAGCCAAGTGGTTAAAGCGTACGCTCGTCATGCCGAAGCCCCGGGTTTGATTCCCCACATGGGTACAATTTGTGAAGCCCATTTCTGGTGTCCCCCGCCGTGATATTGCTGGAATATTGCTAAAACGGCGTAAAACCATACTCAGTCAGTCAGTCATACATATTCTAAACGTAACGACCCAACGCTTGCAACGAATTCACGAATGGATGTCTGAAAATGCTACACTGTGTAAATGCTGAAATTGTGTTTCTTTACATTTCCAAAAACGCACTCTTATGAGCACGGCGTTCGTGTTCACACCCAGTGTTTCGTTTGATTTCATCTATACACTTGGTGTGGGTGACAAATTCCATTTGACTGATTGTAAAATGTATGAGCGAGGAATGCAGTGATGCATTTGTCGAAACTAAATGTGAATAGGCGTCTCATGACCTGCCTTAGCGAAACGTGATTCTGTAAACACTACGGAAACCTCGCTTCGGCGTTCGTGTTTGTGTATTTTAAAAAACATCCCAACCGATACTAGGTTTATCGGCGACAGTTCAGAATTACCACAGGTGACTTGATGAAAAACAGGTATCAGTCATCACTAATATGTTATTTGTTTAATTCAATCGTCCGTGAATTTATCCGGTTTTTGCCTTTGACCACAAACACCAAATAAACGCTATAGTAACGATGAACCGTACCTAACAACCCTTAACCAAAAAAAGAACAAGTCATAATCTCATAATTTCAAACATGTGCCAAACGTGGAGGAAAGGCATAATAATATAACAATATCAGTTTACATTATTTTAATGATTATTTGAATAACCAAATAACCAACATAATTCCGTTCAAAGTTGTTATTGTATTGATCTGAAACGAATGACAGATATGATATTAAAAACTAAATCTGGGTTCGATCAAATGCAAGAAGCCAATTTCAGGTGTCAACGATTTATTACGCGCGTAAATCCATACCAACTCATATCACACATCCTTACAAAACGTGTACACGTAGAGTTACCTGCCGTTGAGCTTGGTCAAATAGTATTTTTGACCGTGACGTCACAGACAACAATCTCGTGACGTCATAGACAATGTCACGCTGAGTTCCAAGCAGGATGCCGTCTTTGCGATTTGCTCACGATTTATCGTCTCATTTTCCCGATATGCAGACAATACCAACTCCTTCAACGAGGTAAGTCATATATTATGTCATTCCATAAAACCATGGAAACTATTAACCTGCCCACAAGGTATATCTATTATCAAATCACGTATATGTATGTATGCGCACGGTTAATGTGGATTGATCTGAGGATTTTATTGGGAGGTTCTTCTCAAGCTAAATGGTATGCAGATGTCAAATCTCCTGCAGCAAATTACATCTATATTCCGTTAATTATTTTAAATTTGTCTGAAATACTGTTTTGCTGTATTACTATTTTAAGAAATCGCTGTTTGAAGAGAAAACTAATGTTTCATCTACTACCTAAGTTTACCGTGACTCAACTCTTAATACTATAACAATAAAAATATATGATTGAGTTAAATGTGTGGGCAAACATGGATTTGACCTATCAAAACGGCAGAAAGCCCCAGAACAGTGCCGGAACTCTTCAAGAGTTTAGTCCAAGACACAACTATGATACATGTATTCAAAACCGTTTCCTATGTTTTCTTAGGTACCATCACACATGGATGTATACTTTGTTTAGACCGGTTATAGATGTATTTGTTTCGACTGTACTGCCGATTGTTCAAATAGCATGTTGCTATATCGTTTCAGGTTACCGAGCATCGTTAACGGAACACTTTGCCAAGAACAATATGGTAAATATTTAATTTACCTACATTAAATTCACGATGACTTAGGTGTAGCAGTGTGTATGCTTTCAAAACGTAAACAACTAATAATAACCAACTGCAATCCAATTGTATTTATTTTCGGAGATAAAAAACTAACGATCGTAATTCATGTACGTTATCTTAATACAATAAATACTAAGTAATCCATTATCTGGAAGATATAAAAGTGTAATAATTGAACAGGTGATTTTTTTAGTCAATTCACTTGTTTATAAATGTAATGCATTTATTACGTTTTTGTGGGTTTTATTTTCTACATGTTTTGATATATGTCCTGCATGAACATAAATGTCCTGTGTTGTGTCAGACAAACATTGTGGGATATATATGTTTCTTGATTTCAGAATTCGAAACCAGTCCCAGAGATGTGGCTCTTTTCCTGTGTGCATTCCTCATTTGTGTCAGTAAGTACATGTCGACTTTCGTGTAATTTGCGGTAGCGTACATTTACTGCGATAATACATCTGGAAGATGGGATCCACGTCTATTTTCGTGTACATATATGAACACATCAGCGCATGGGCCAATAAATAGTTCTCCGATAAGAATGACAAACACGTATATATGACGTGTTATAACACATGATATATTTGTGATAATACTTTTCCCGGTAAAAAATATATTGTAGCACTTTTGCTGGTTTAAGTCCCGCGCGCTATTCGAACACCTAGTCGGGAGTCAGGCACCTAACCGCCAGCACACAACGTCAGCCATCTAACCCACTCAGCCGCCACAGCTTCCACAAATATGGAAGTACGACAGCTGGTAGTCTTGACAGGACTTTGTGTACCGCTCTGATAAATTGGCACGGCTATGAATACAATGTCATTTAGAAAGGGATGAAATCTGTACTGAGAAAGTGTAATCCCCAACATAACATGTATGTTACATTTGACCACTTTCTAAATGGCATTGTGTATTCACCATTAAGGGTTATATTTAGAATACCACTTTCAAGATCACGGACCTTTAGCGCCAACGATTAGGGGCGTCACTCCGGCAGTGGGGGTTCGAATCCCAATAAGATAAAATAAAACATGTACTTGGCCATGTACATTACTAAAACAGCGTTAACCATAAATTTAATGTTTCTAAAATGTGATCGTTTTCTAAATGGCGTGGTTGCATGGTTGCATGGTTACAACAATGCCGATACGACGTGAAAAACACTCACTCACTCACTCTAAATGGTATGTGACTCGTCATGAGAGATAGTCATGATTTATAATGGTGGTATCTCATCAGCATGTGTGTGATGCCCTTAATATAATACAAATTAGCCTTGGGTAATTCATCTGAAATATATTGTTCTATTCATTCCAGTGATCTTCGTGGGTTTGTTTTGGTCACTGAGGAAGTGTGTCCGGAGACTCAGATGTCCATACAGTCCCCGAGAATCTGCTCTCGATGCCGCCGAGCGGGGTGAATCAGACTCCCTGTCTCCACACGAAGACTACACCCTGGCTCCCAACACCTCGTGGTGGGAGGTCGTGGTCAAGAAAGAGGCAGAAGATCCCACGTTTGGACGGGATTTGGTGGTAGCACCAGAGTACTTGGTGGAAGACGAGGTTCTGAGATACGACCCTGACTACTGTCTCAAGTCGGGCGCCCTCTGGTGGGAGGTCGTGGAGGCTCAGGAAAGGGCGGGAAGCTGAATACAGAACTTTAGGGGTTAATTATCCCCGGTGATACATAAACAATCACAGAACTTTAGGGGTTAATTATCCCCGGTGATACATAGACAATCAAGAACTTTAGTACTGAGGTCCTCTATGACTTCCATTTTCATTTATGATGATATTTATACAATTTTGTTGAATTACTTTTAATATTTTATAAAACAATGTGTACAATAAACAAGTTACTGTGTAATAAACAAATGCTTTTTTCAAACAATGTTTTGTGTTGCGTATGTAAGTTGTTGTTATTATAATGATAAATATTCCGGCTTCAGGACTCAAATGGGCGGTGGGGTAGCGTTGGCTTGTCAGACCCGGGTTCGATTTCCCACATGGGAACAATGTGTGAAGCCCATTTCTGGAGTGCCCCGCCGTGATATCGCTGGAATATTGCTAAAAGCGGCGTAAAACTATTTTCACTCGCTCACACCCAGACAAAGCAGTAACTAGCTTCCCCCCACACGGTCGGAGCATGATGGTACACAATCACCCAAGTGACCGACCCGACCACCTGATCCACATTAACGACTCCCAGAAGCATACGTGTGGACTGCTGAGGACCAATTGTCACGGGTATCGTCACAACAGAAGCACAACTATTTGCATACAAAAGTGGTACCAACTAATCGTATACCAACTAGTTGTACCGTGTGATTGCGTGCAAGTCTTCGCGCAAAACACCATTCCCATCCCTCATATATCATAGAAGTCGGTCAACGTCAGCTTATTGAATCTTGACGCATTAAACGGCGAATACTGTAAACGACAGTATACTGACAGTCGTTGTGCAAATTGGGTTCATGGTCCAGCGATGTCACTTCCAAGTGTTACTGGTGGGGCGGTGGGGTAGCCAAGTGGTTAAAGCGTTCGCTAGTTAGAAGTTAGAAGTTAGAAGCCCATTTCTGGTGTCCCTCTTCGCAATATTGCTGGAATATTGCTAAAAGCTGCGTAAAACCCAACTCATTCACTTACTCACTCCAAATGCTACTGATAATAGTTGACTGCGCGCCATCTTACCTCGCTGAGGTAGGTTCATAATATCAATCACTCGGTTGTGTGGTCCAGAGTCGATTATTACAAACCACCGCCATGTAGATGGAAAATTGCTGAGTTCGAAATCAATAAACAAGTTGCGTTTGTGATGTACAAGACTAGTTCAATTGTGACAAGAGTGAGTGAGTGAGTGAGTGAGTGAGTTAAGATTTAAAGTCACATCGGCAATATTTCAGCCATATCGTGACTGAAACAAATTCTATATTCATGATAAATACACTTAATGCATAAAACCCTGTCAACGAATGAAAGTAAAATGACTAGAGTATCACAAATGGGTTAAAACTAGCTAGAATATATCTTTAAATGTAAACAACTATTTTGGACAATGTATACAATGTAACAATGGGCTATTTATCGTCAACAACTGAAGATAGATCACCATACTAAGGTCCATGGCTACGTGCATGGATCCTAGCTGGATTTACACCATCCCTTCAACCATTGGCGTTTATGTTGAGATTTAGCCATACAATAAAATGACAAAAATACTGCGATTAAAAACCCGATAGACTCAAATTCACTTGAAATGTTTTGGGACTTACGTACCCTCTGTGACAAGAGTCCTTAAGAGTTGCATATACAGACGTTCCAAACTTTCATGAAGTTACTTCCTTATTTTTCAATAGTACAAGGGGCGGTGGGGTAGCCTAATGGTTAAAGCGTTGGCTCGTCACGCCGAAGACCCGGGTTCGAATCCCCACATGGGCACAATGTGTGAAGCCCATTTCTGGTGTCCCCCGCCGTGATGTTGCTGGAATATTGCTAAAAGCGGCGTAAAACCAAACTCAGTCAGTCAGTCTGATAGTGGTGGTGTGTCCTGTGCATGGAGCTCACGTCACAAATCAGTTTAAGTTAAGCAACGATTGGCGCGGAGAGTCAATGGACGGGTGACCGTGTTTGGCAGCTTGACTCCTGAGGGTTTCTACGACACTCACCTCATTCTTGCCCTACAACCAAGCACTTGATATATGTGGTCTCACCTTAGCCAAGTGAATGTGTTCAAAATTGCCTCGGTTCACCCAGCAGGAAATGGGTACCCGGTGGGATGTGACTATAACCTTCTAGCGCCTAACAGGCAGCTTGGTGTATCCTGGGTAATAATGTGTTAGGACCTTGAGCATACACGAGTCTGTGGAAACATTCGTTTTATAAACGGCCATTATTATTACTATTATTTATAGAATCTGCTACATTCGCAACGTCAACGTCTGACTGACTTCCGGAATTCAGGTTACGAATACGTTTCGTCTTACAAAAAACAGAAAAGAAAATAATTCATTTTGTCCATGCCACTGATTTCAAAAAACAGAAGGGGTACGAACGGCCTTGTATAAGGCGCCACTTTTACGGAATGCAGAGTTGCGTCCCTTGGTCACGCCTCGAGTCATGCCTGGAGGGTTCGAATCCCTTTTCGCCCCGAAATCGTCTCTCGGTTTAACACGATCACACATTCCACACTGTGTCGCCAGAGCGGTGAACGTTTAACATCTTCATCACCTGCATCACTTTTATTAGCGGACATCTGACACCGTTATATAACTGGAATACTGTCAAACAAATCTCACTCCCTCACTCACACATTCGGTTTCAGTTTGCGACGACTGGTATTAAAGAAAAAAATAAACTTTCAGAACACAACGGTTTTAGAGATGGTACTCACTTCCGGATACAGTTATCACAGACATAATATGATTGGAGTTATTTATCTACATTCGGAATTTGTCGATTTACTTCGTTTTCGAGATGCTTGTGTGAATCATTGTGTTTCTCGAACACTTTCAAGTTACTTTTATGGATGACAACTTCTTTATTCTTGTATGAAGCAACCCGTGAAGATCCGGGTTAGAATTGATCTTCCGCAACTCATGCTTGTCGTAAGAGGCGACTATACTTTCTATTGGGATCGGGTGGTCAGGCTCGCTGGCTTGGTTGACACGTTTGTCATCGTATCCCAATTGCCTAGATCGCTTATGCTGTTGATCACTGGATTGTCTGGTCCAGAATCGATTATTTACAAACCGCCGCCATATAATTTAAATATTGCTGAGTGCGGCGTAAAACTTAACTCACTCTTTCACAAAACTCGTAAAAGTCAAGGAAATTCATCACGTAGCAGGCATAGTTTGAAAAGCGGCGTTTTCTAGTTTAACGCAAGTGGGTTTAAATTTCGTTAATTTCGTTAAACCTGCACTAAGTGAAGGCAATACTCACACAGTGACTGTTTGAATGTGAATAAGCTGGATTTTACCACGCTTTTAGCACATAATCCAGCAATTTCACGGCAGGGGATACCAGAGAGAGAGAGAGAGAGAGTGTGTGTGTGAGAGAGAGAGAGAGAGAGAGAGAGAGAGAGAGAGAGAGAGAGAGAGAGAGTGTGTGTGTGTGTGTGTGTGTGTGTGTGTGTGAGAGAGAGTTGGGTTTTACGTCGCTTGTACAAATATTCCAGCAATATCACTTCGGGGGAGACCAGAGATGGGCTTCACAGGGGATACCACAAAAGAACCTGACACATATACCTTTGTACATAGGAACTGTATAGGGAATCGATACCAGGCCTTAGGCGCGACGAGTGAACGATGTAACTACGGGCCTATTTATTTCATTGCTCCAACAGTTATATTTTTATACACGATAAAAAAAACAAGGACTGTCACCTGACCATAGTCCGAACCTTCTTTAATTAAACAAACGAATGTTTCCATACATAACATCAGTAAACGTAAAGTTTACTGACCCACTGTGCTGGCATTTGAACAACATAAAACCGATAAAAACAACAAGTTACATTGCTTCAAAATATAATTCCAAACAGTGCGAATTAAAAGAAGAAAGCAAATTGAACTAAAACATTCGATGTTAGTTCGCAACATATTCAACGTTAACCCGACACATATAGTACAAGTGACACAAGAATACGGATCGACTGCCAAAGAAAACACCCTGTAAAACCTGATATTGTTTGCATAAACATGAGTCAGCTTTGGCTTGTTAGCACCTAGATCAATTTATCATTAAAAATTCATTGATTACAGTGTTTTCTAATTGAGGTAAAAGCGGTGATATTCACTGTTCAGACAACTCATCCTTCTGATCCAAATAGTATGGCTGGGATTAATGTTGTTTTAAACAATTGATATCAATTCGGTATTTGTCTTTGCCTGCGAAGATTATCCACCTGTTGCATTTTTTCTGCCAGCATTGCCTTGAGTCTTTGAACTTTATCACTAAGAACAACGTTGGAGATAGATGCAGATGAAATCTCTGTTGTGGCAGCTTCAGGCTCAAGTCCTAACTCTGGATCCGGAACGTAATTTGGAGCAGGGTTATCTGGTAAAAACATATCCATTTCCTCATCGGGTTCAGAGTCTGGATCCACCTCCAGCTCAACGTTCATCCACTCTTCATCTGAATCCTCCTCCACATCCTCTTTAACGTCCCCCTTTATCTTAGTTTCAACATTTTCCTCATTCTCAGGAACAGAGCAGGGTTCAACATATTTGGAAGATTCTTCAGACGGATCTATTGGGGATGGTGCTGCCAGGTGGCTTGATCCTAAGCTTAAAGGCTCATCCTGCACCACTGATTCTTTAGTTTCACTCGACGGTAAGCAGGCAGTTTGAGAACCGTCAAATTTCTCCAACGAAGTAATTGTGTGTGTTTTGGATTCATCAGTCCTGGAAATAACCTCAGGAGATTTCACTGGAGATGTATCACTGAAATCACTATCAACATAAGCCACGGAAGCAGCGGACTCAGTCTCTGAAGATGGTGACCGAGGTGACCGGTCACTATCCAGACACATCGACCCCATCTTTGACTGGCATGACTCAGACACATTCAATGTTCCTTGATTGAGAGGCAGCGTTGAAATTACTGTTGGTTTCCCAATGGTCTCAAAAGCTCCTGGAGCAGGTACCATATTTGGTACCTCCACAGCATACTTGCTCCCATTGGAAGAAGATATATTGAACGTGCCAACAGTTATCAGTTCCCCAGGCTGGTGGGATGCAGACTCGTGGAGGGATGCAGGTCCATCCTGTTTCTCTTGGGTTGGACTCGCAGGTTTATTTACGTCGTCCGTGTTAATCCTTCTCTTGATTTGAACTGTCCTAGAAAAACTTGGCTCGTGCTTACCCTGCTTATTCTTATCATCCACCACCTTCAGTTTGCACTGGTTACCAGGAAGATGTCGCTTTTCACAAAGTCTCCTTAAAAACATTTCCCGACATTCAAGTGGGCAGATTTCGTTTTCTTTATTTTTCTTATTGTTCCTTTTGGCTATTTTGAGTTTTGATGGAATGGAAATCCGTTCAACGACAACAAAACACGGATGAAAGATGACAGGTCTCATATTTAATTTTAGTTTGTGGGCGCTCTTGGGACTTGATGGTGGGTGGTCTGTTTGTAGACGCTTTGGCACTTTTCGATTTCTTCTCTTTGGCGTAAGTCCACCATCATTTGAATCTTGTATTGTACTACTGTTGAAACCACTTAGTGCGTCAGTTTCATTAATTGGTTTTGTGTCACCAACGAACTGACCAGTCTGAACAACTGTTGTATGGTACTGACTGTCCTTTCCACTCTTCACAGATTCAACTTTCCTCACTTTCGTTTTTCCAGGATTCAAGCAGGAACTAGATTCGGAGTTACCATCAATCCTCGCAGATTCAACTTTCCTGAGGGCTGTCTTTCCAGGATTCAAACAGGAACTAGATTCGGAGCTATCTTCAATCTTAACAGATTCAACTTTCCTGAGTTTGGTCTTTCCAGGATTCAAACAGGAATCAGTTTCGGAGTTGGGTGTCACTTTCAGTATATCCTTGTTCAAATCCTGTTTCTGAGTACCAGTGTCCTGCGAGGGAGTTAGTGAAAAAACTGATTCTATCCTCGGTAGAGCCATGTCTACTTCTTTGGGCACGGCTGCATAGTTATGTTGGTCAATAAATGCATCAATCTTAGGCTCCGGTTTACTTGGAACACTGAAAGAAAGACCCTTATTGTTCACAGGACCATGTTCATTTGAATTTGTAGGAAGAGTTTCACGATTTGTTGCTGGGGCTATAGGGACTTGATTCTGAGTGTTTGTGGTGACTATGATGGTTTTCCCAGCAGATCCTGAAGGCAAACACTGGTTATACACTAAAGGAAAAGAGTTAGATGTTTGTGTCATCACCACTGGCATGTAATACGTTTGCATCGTGTCTGGGACGAATGCTATTTGCGGAGCAGTCAGTACGGGCAGAACCGACTGAGGATTCACGAGTCTCATGGGGTCGGGTTTTACAGCTACTACCGGCTTATCGGGATACACTCTTACAATCACCTCTTTGTGGCCGTTACCTTTTTCAGACACGTTCTTAGTAGACTGAGGCTTAAATGCATCTGAAACTGGAACAGGAAGGGTTTCCTTCAGAGAGGCTGATGCTTTCTGGACATTTTTTAGCATCCTCTGCAGGACCGGGTCGATATCGTTTTGGTTGTGTATGTTTTTCTGACGCACATGTGGATAAGTATCAACGTAAGCACCTCCAGGATAAAGTCGTTTTTGTACTGGAACATTTAGCGGTGGTTTCTGACTAGGTATAGAAACAGTCTGGGTAGTGTTCAACACATCCTTACCACTCTGAGCGTTAAATGACACATCCTGTCCTTTGTCCTTTAAATTGGCAGTAACCATGTCCCTGAGGCAGCCCAAAACACCTGTTGGTTTCTGTATCACATTTCCCGTCTGCGACCCTGTCTGTTTGCTTTTCAGATTCCCAGTTCCTCCAAGGATTGAAGGTCTGGTCCCTTGTTTGTTTGAAACTGTCGTTTGGGGTATCCTGTTCAACCCTTGGGAGGATTGAAACCTAGGTCCAGTTGTTAGAGAGCTAGTGTGTCCAACCGTAACTGGGACTGAAGCACTTAACTGTCTTAATATTTCCGAAGCCCCTTCAGATTTGCTTTGTCTGTTTTTTGTAGACGCATCTGTTGTAGTAGAACATGTTGGAAGTAAATTTGGTTTTGGGAGATGTCCTGAGACTGCTTGTAAAGAGGAACCTGAACTCTGATGCCCTGTAGAGTATGACGGCGGTGATGTCATTATTTCATAGCTGCTTTCGTTTGCAGAACCGTAAACTGATGGTTTTATACTGGATGGACTGCATTTGATTGACTCGAAAACCTGCTTCCCAGGCTGACTCTCCTCTTGGGTCTGTTTGGTTGGAACCACAACAGGAGCAAGAATCACCACAGGAGGAGCAAGTGACGTTTTTTCTTTCATAGTATAGCTGTGATCTAATGCCCAGTGTTCATTCGCTGTCACGTGAGAATTAACAGAAGAAAGCATCACAGCAAGCGACTTTGCCTGAGACTCTGTCAGAACTGATTTGTTCGGACCGGAGGTTGATGTGGGGACATGGGTGGAATCTGTTTTGTCTGGGGGATCAATTCGGGGTGCAGCTTGAACATTAGGGGCTTTGCCATAGAAGAACTCTTTAACTTCACCGCCTGGACCTGTCACACTCAATAACTGATTTCTCTTTGTGCTTGGAATACTTGCAGTTGGATCTTCCGTTATCGTTAGTGTTCCTTTTTCATTCAGCACCAGTCGAGCACATATGTTTCTGTAAAAAACAACAGAATATGTTGAGTGAGTGATAAATTGATTGACATTGTCAGAATTGATATTGTTGTGGTCCGTCGTACCTAATTATTAAATAGAACACTTATAATATCGTGTGATGCAGCTTTAACAACCTATTATCTGCCTTGAAAGAGAGAGTGAGAGGGGGGTGAATGTTTTTTTACGCCACATCCAGCAATATTCCATCAAGCAGCCTGTAAGTAATTGAATCTGGATCAGAAACATAAGTGACTAATATCATTACCAAATCTACAGGTTACAATACCAATTCAGCGAATCTGATTTATGCAGTCATCCCAAGCAGGGCTCGCTGATGCCGTGTACAATGTCCGAATCCCAACTGTACGGTAATTTGGTTTTACGCCGAAGTCACCAATATTCTAGATATATCATGAGACATGTATTGAACCGAGTCTTGTATGATCAGATCTAGGTCGTATAATGCCACATTACCAGGAGTGAGCGAGTGAGTGAGTGGGTGGGTGGGTGAGTGAGTGAGTGAGTGCGTGGTGGGTGGAAGGGTGAGTGTGTGAGTGAGTGAGTGATGGGTGGGTGAGTGAGTAGGTGAGTGCGTGGTGGGAGGGTGAGTGTGTGAGTGGGTGAGTGAGTGAGTGGGTGGATGGGTGGGTGAGTGAGTGAGAGTGATATGTACAGTCTGGACCAGACAATCCAGTGATTGACATCATGAACATGCTCAACGTAGTTTCGTGGATGCTGTTTAACACTGCATTTTGCGAAATTCCAGCTCAATGAAAGCGTGCTTTGGTGAATCAAATCAGAAGATGTCAGTCAAGAAGCATCAATCTAGCCAAATGGATTTTACTGACATACATTAAACACCCAATACCAGCCTGGTACCGATCCGGTTAGTCGCCTCTTATGACAAAGGCGGGTTGCCAGAAATCATTTTTCATCCGGATGTAAACAGGCACTGGACCAGACCAGTGATTAAATATGAGCAATCACACAACGTCATCGACCTTGACCATCCGTTCCATTCGGTAAAATTAACTCTAACCCTTACACTCATCTCCTCTTCGGTGGGGATGGGTTTTTTCAGCACCATATAGGTGAGGTGAGGTGAAATGGGTTTAAGGTGGTGCATGAGAATATTTCGCTCATATGACGACGTGCATGCGTGTGTGTGGGTATGTGCGGCTGCTTGTAGTAGCCAAGACTGAAGCTGGTTTTATAGTGCTAGCCCACTGAGATACCATGCCGCAGTGAAGCATGAATACCCCACTCAGACACATTATACTGACTCCGAGTCGACCAGTCCGTGTGCCCATGAATGCCGAGCGCCAGGCAGGGACCAACGAGTACCATATTTTAACGTCTTTCGGTATGACGCGGTCGGGATCGAACCCGCGACCTTCCGCTCTCCGGGCGGACTCTCTAACCACTACACCGCGGAGGCGGTCAGAACCAGATAGAAACCATTCGACGTGTTATATATTAACTTAAACTCTAAATCTGCTTAAAATTTAATTACTGCTTGATTGAAAACAACAGTAAACAGCACCACTTCCAAACATTAGGAATTTAGATTTTTTTTGCCGATTTCTAAATTTTAAATAAAACCCTGAACCTGGGTATCACATTGGTTGGTTTGTTGTTTTACGTCGCAATATTCCAGCTATATGGCGGCTCTCGGTAAATAATCGAGTCAGGTATCACACGTAATCATTGATGCTGATGATAACGAAGACGATGATATGATGAAAATAATAATTCTAAGTATTATGTTCGAGTTCAGCACGAACTAGATACGTGTTGCAGTATGTACTTCACAAAGCACTTACCGGCTTCCTGCATCATTCGACGCCATTCCACCGCGTGTTCTGGACCTGTAAGAAATAATATATTCTTTGTAAGACGTTTCTATACAAATCATGTTTCCTACATACATGAAATTCTATTTCTAGTTCAGTTTTACAAAACACGATTCATTGTGAAGCAAAGCATTAGCATCAATGGGTATATTGTCACTACCGGAATCTTAGCACCATACGAAAGGATGCTGAATCCTTGTAAGTTTTACGCCGCACTCCGCAATATCCCGGCAATATCTGAATTGATGCTATTTGGGGATTTATCTTTGCGTTACAAGCTCATGTGGTGTTTGGAAATACTTAGATTTACTGAAAATCTCATGACGTGGAAATTTCAGCCACATTATGGCTTCTATAGTCCGTTTGGCTCAAAAGCGGACCGATGAATTGCAATCTAACTCGAAAACTAATAAACATAAAATACTCAATGAAACACTGATCATAATCAAAACGTCAGACCAACTCTGTGAAGCTTTTGCAGAATTTATGTCCTTAAAATAAAAAAGTTGTTTAACAAACTGTCATTAAAATATTGACACAGTTCACCCTTTTGTACGAGGTAGGAGTGCAGAGAAAGGGACAGCCAGGTGTGCGAGAAAGGATGGAGACGGAACAGCACAGGTTAATGAATCAATAGCTTTGTCGGCACTTGTGCATGTGCTTCTCTAACACCTGGCTGTCCCTTTCTCTGCACTCCTCCCTCGTAACAAATAGTGAACTGTGCCAAAAATTTAATGATAGTTTGTTAAACAACTTTTTTCATTTTAGTACATATATTCTGCAAATAAATTACAGAGTTGGTCTGATGTTTTGATTATGATCAGTGTTTCACTGAGTATTTTATGTTTATTAGTTTTCGAGTTAGATTGCAATTCATCGGTCCGCTTTTGAGCCAAACGGACTATAGGTGGAATGAGACTGCTCACACAACGGATCCTCGGGAAATATTTTGAGGTGAAGAGGAATTCGAGTTGACGTGAGTACATGGTGTTTTACGAGGCGTTTAGCAATAGTACACCAATATCATGTCGAAAAACGGGAACTGCTTCTTAAACGAACCCCGGTTGGTTTGACCGGTTTGCACAGTGCCATGTGTAACGGGATTCAGTGGGTGTGTCTAACGCCATTTTGAAACATTTCAGGTACATGCCGTTGTGTCAGTTTTAGTGTCATACCAGAGTCCCTGACCCAGTGGGATATCTAATTTAGGTCACGTGTTGAAAAAGCATATATGAATAATGCATTCCAACCAATACATTTCATACAACAGGCCCGACCGAGTAGACAAACGCTTAGTCTTTTGATAGTAACGAATAAACCCAGTTGAATTGAAAAGGAGCCCAAGTCAGATCGGAAATTCAGAACCTGAGGAAATCTAGACTTGCATCATTCAAAGCTTTAGCATTGCGGGGAGGGCTAGGCAGTAGGGAACATAATGTGGTTCAGGGACGGTGAGACGGACTACCGTCCGAGCTCAACTCCACTGAGTGAGTGAGTGAGTGAGTATGGTTTTAGCAATATCACGGTGGGGGGCACCAGAAATGGGATTTATACATTGTACCCATATAAGGAATCGAACCCGGGTCTTCGGCGTCACGAGCGGACGCTTTGTCCACTAGGTTACCCCACCACACAATGTCACCTGGCCAGTGGGTTTGAATGAAAGCTGGACTGCCTGCTAAATATAACTGCTCATTGTCACCGGACTCGTGAACAAAATTCAATGATGTTTAGCGCTAACAAAAATAGATTTATTGAAAAGCGTGCATAGCTACTTTTGTCAGTACTATTTTCGTTATCGCGGAAATGGATTATTTTCACTTGAGAAGGATTTGTGCATTTGTAGTTGTCTGAGTCATTTCGGGGTTCTATTCAAAGTGGCGCGGAATAGAGTGCTGTTTCCGCGAACTGTTCACTAAATACACGAATTTGCTATTTGTTAAACTCCATATTTGAGTGTCTATGACAGAGCATGGGTGAGTGAGTGAGTTTACTTTTACGCCAGCCTCAGCAATAGTCCAGCTATGTGGCGGTGGTCTGTAAATACTCGAGTCTGGACCAGACAATCCTGTGATCAACAGCATGAGCATCGATCTACGCAATTGGGGGACAGAGCATGGGACTCTGGCACTACACGCGATAACAAGGAACAGTTGCGAGAATAACTGTACATAGTTTGCTGAGAGATCTGAGGGACTGTGGTTCGATTCAGAGCGCGTGACGTTAAAACACGGTACTTGTTGCTGCTATGGTTAAAGGCCAGGGCCTATATTTTCGAAGCTCTCTTAGAGCTAAGATAGTCGTAAGTTAATGTTAATGTATGGCACTTACGACTATTTTAGCGCTAAGAGAGCTTCGAAAATCTAGGCCCAGGACTCGAGTGAGTGAGATTTTAATCCGCTTTTAGCAATATTCCAGCAATATCACGGCGGGGGACATCAGAAATGGGATTCAGACATTGTACCCATGCATGGAACCGAGCGAGCGGACGCTTTATCCACTTGGCTATCCCACGGCTAGAGTTTAGTAGGAATCAATATACTGAGGGGAATCCATGTTAAAATGTTGTATGGAATATCTGCAGACTTTCAAAATAAAATGTGCAAATGTCCGAGCTAGCCCAATCCGCCCCCTACACCCCCATTCGATCCCCAACCCCTACCCCCATTCGAAGCCCTACACCACACACATACGTACCTACATAATTACATTCATTAACACAACGCTTACCCCGCGTTCACTACACCACCAGTTAACAGCATCTTACAGTCCGTCCTCTATAAGTAAACGCGTGAATCTTGGGATTCGAACCACGACCACGGAGTAATTGTGGAGCCAAAATTATTTTACTAAGTCCCTACGTTTCGAATATTCATCGTATGATACTATCTTGTTTTCTAAGATATAGATCTAGGCAAAACATATAGATATTTGCAATCAATATTACTATTAAGTTGAACAATATCAGAATTTAATTTAAATAATAACTAACGATGTAAATGTTGTTAATAGTTCTGGCATGACCTGCTTCGTTTTACAAAATTAATATGATCGGTCTGTTGTTCACCTTTTCCAAGGCATACAACATTGAGTGAGTGAGTTTAGGTTTATGTCACTTTTAGCAATATTCCAGCAATGTCACATCGGGGGGCATCAGAAATGGGCTTCACACATTCTACCTGAGTGGGGAATCGAAACCGGGTCACCGGCGTGACAAGCGGACGCTTTAACCACTTCAACCCATCGTCCCCGAGGCATACAACAACACTGCAACAACATTGATACTGATAATGTCATCTTTGCTTAAAATCCAGCTTGAGATGAGGAGACGAGCCTGGGCAACAGATGTTTAAAAACACTATAGGCCCAATTCACGTTATAATTCACATTAGGTATTTGATGGTTTTCTTTGGGAAATCTTATCGTAACTTCAATTGAAGTGGTCTATCGGGTATTTTAAAACAATCGGTAACTATTCACTATTCTATGCGGTCTGGTTTACGAATAGCTTATGCCTGCATTCGACAGTAAGAATAGATGTGAATAGATGTGATTAGATATTCGTGTACGCAAGCTTAAAAATCTATCTAATTACTGAAAATATGTTCTACTATTGTTAATTGTAAATATTTTGTAAATATTTCATGCGTATTCGCACGCAAACAACTTAATAATAATAACTGATAGCGATTTATACTGCGAATTTTACGTAAATACGCTACTTGTCAACTCAGCAGTCGAGACGGGAGATCTACATAATGTTAGTCTACTACGGTAATGTGACACATTTTTTCATCATAGGATACATGCTATTCACGTGCGTAATATCATATGAACCTCAACATATATCATCTTTTACGTTGTCAGAAGAGTTTACCTCGTTCCAGGAACAGCACTTGTGTTTGCGTTTGCCCATGCGCAGTAAGGCACGGAATATATTCATACGCGCGCCTTCAGGCTTCGAACGATAGCTGAGCTCGAGCTACAGTAATAACATGTCTACGTGCAGCATGAAATCTATCTTTCATGAATATCATTACTCGTTGTTATCTGAAGGTAATACAAAGTCTGTGGCTTACGTTTCTGTTCAAAATTCATTCAGGGCCAAGTCCACGAACAGTTTGCATAGGGAAGTATGAACCACGAGTTGTTTACCATTCGGGGCGACCTTGCCCCTTAAACCCTGCCCTTTTGCAGCGCCACCTATCAGTGATCCTGCCAGGGGAGTTAATTGTAAATAGTTGTCGCGAAATGTAGTGTGAATGCTATACCCAATCTTGCAATCGACTAAATGTATGTTATTTAATTATTGATTAATTTTGAGAGAAAGCAATCGAATCGGGGTGAAGCTCGCTCAGCGAGACATTGAATTCTATAAATAGCACAAAACAGGACCTACAGCCTTCTCGGCGTGTTGGACGTCCTTTGTGAATCTTATTGGAAAGGTGCATTTATTACCCGCTTACTTGTCAGCTGGAGTTTGATAAACAATACGAGGGGTGCGGTGTCCATACACGCGAAAATACTACATTTGGGTTTAACATAGAACTATTTCCGCTTTCACTGTCGAGGGCCGCTCACTAAGCACGAGAGTTACGTCCCTTAGAACACTACTTTGGCGAGAATGCATTGCCAACCTGCCCTAGTTAGGGTAGCTCTTGTTTATGATTGATGAGCTTTACGTTACGTCAAATAAAGGATAACTTAAAAATTCATGTAGTGTGACTTAAACTCAACAAATAACTTTCGAGAAGCACACTAATAATTACGGCACATGTATGACACATAACAATGATGAAGGCACGTGATATGTATGATTTTACTGACGTTTATCTGACTTTGAAATTTTCCAGCGACTGGCGTTTTCATGACCACATTGAAAGTATGAACGTTTGTATGGCTCTATCTCACAAGCTGTCATAAGTATAGGTGTGCTAACACAAATGCGGTGATATCTCACGCGGCTGTAAATTTCACCACAATGCGAATCGACACAGCGATAAACATTGCTTTTCTAAGTCTTTTCAAAATATAATGTACATAACAATAGTGTTATTCACACTGCGTTGTAGTCCACACAGGGGCATGCTCAAAGCACTACTTTATTCCCGTGTTTATAGTTAATTGTTCGCTCGATTTTTATTCTCGGCTTTGTCTATGTCCTCCTTATGTCATATACATGTAGATACAAATTGAATGCATATCCCCCTGTACATACATACGTATCCATACATATATACATACATACATACATACACACATACACACACATACGTACATACATATACATATGCACGCACACGCACACACACTATGAAGTTATGATGTATCTGATGGCACTTTCTATAGAAATATCATTGATTGCTTTTGTACGTCAGCACAATTGTACCTATCAATGTCATACATTGACAACTTGTACAATACCTATAAACAAGTGAAAAAATTGTAAATAAAAAAACCCAAAAAACATAGCCCTTCTAAGTCTTTTCAAAATATAATGTACATAACAATAGAGTTATTCACACCTCGTTGTAGTCCACACAGGGGCATGCTCAAAGCACTACTTTATTCCCATGTTTATAGATCATTGTTCGCTCGATGTTTATTCTCGGCTCTGAGCCAGCAACTATAGTATAGTTTACTACCTGTTGCCTATTCACTACTGAATTGGTATATAACAGAGGCATATAACAGAAGCATATTTCAAACAATGTCGCTTCCTACAGTAGCGCAGCTGCCGTATGCGGTCACCTTAACAGGTCCTCTCCGCGGCCATTGTTGCTCAACGTCACGTGATTTGTTGTTTGTGAGTGAGTGTGTGTGGTTTTACGCCACTTTTAGCAATATTCCAGCAATATCGCGGCGGGGGACACCAGAAATGGGCTTCACACATTGTACCCATGTAGGGAATCGAACCCGGGTCTTTGGCGTGACGAGCGAACGCTTTAACCACTAGGCTACCCCACCGCCCCTTGTTGTTTGTGTATGTACGCAAATCCACGAGATATTTGTGTCTTATTATATATATATCTCCATGCGTATTAATAATGACTGAACGGTTATCTCCGGTCGCAATAAAACTTTACATCTCAACCGCCGAAAACTTTTCCAGTGTGGATCGATCAAACAACCCATCAGCTTTTTTCCTTGGTCTGTACAATTTCGAATCAAAGGGACAATTTATAGTACACAGTCGAACGCATGATTGAGTGAGTGAGTATGGTTTTACGCCACTTTAGCAATATTCCAGCAATCAACCCTTCAAACACACACACACACATACACATATTAAACTGACATGATGTAATTCAACTGAAGTAGTGTGAAATCCATAACACTCGCTCACTATATTTCACACTAAAGTACTGTCGGAAATAGAAAAAAACCTGGTTTTTTTCACATCTATATCCACAATTTATGTAGGTAATATGTGAAAGTGTGAAATATCTGATAAACTAGTAAGTGTGGGCTTACTACAGTCTCAGTGGTAGGGAGACAGGAAACGTAGAAAAAGGACTTTACTGAGGAGAGATTAGTGCAGAAATGAGCAATGTGGGTTTTTCCTAAGTCTCAAAAGCAAAACCAGGTCGGGTGTCGCAGAAGATGGTTGGGGTCGGGCTGGTTGATAGTAATATCCGCTAAGACAAGATAATCATTTAGGGTAATTAAACTGGACAAGTAACAATTTACAAATAACATCCAGTCCTGTCGATCTTCGGGTGGACATGCTACCTATATATTTTGAGACATTTAATACGATGGCTGATTTAAGCCTTTCTATGGGTATCATACTGTTTTACATATCTCAGCATAAACTTTATGAAAGAAAAACACGTTAGATGTTTATAGATGAGACATACTCAACACACAAGAAAACGCATAGAAAATCTTTGAGATGACCCCTTGTGCCTGTGAGCAGCACGTGCATTTCATGCCAGGTGATTTCGACGGTCCGTCGTCACACCTGGCTGAGCGACCATATTGTCATCTAATGTCTGATATATTGTCTTACGCAGCTATTCGTACGTTTTCTAAGTTTTGCCCGATTTTACGAGTAAACATGCTTTTCTGGATATCCTATTACGCATCCCACTGAACGCCCAGTTAGGCCGATGTGGGTTATTTCGACATATGCTATTTGCAATTGAGTAACTTTTAGGGATACAGAGTAACAGCCAAAAAACAGGGGGGTTTTCTATTTCCGACAGTACTTTAGAATACATATCTCCGTAACTGTGTCGCCAAGTATCGTGGTAAAATTGGTGCGGCGTTAAACAATATTCACTCACATGCTAACTGGCACCACTGACACTACGTGATCTATCATTCCAGTTACAGACAATTCCAAAGGCCCTTTAACCTCATTGAAGTGATAATCATCTCAAAGTGAGTGAGTAAAAGTGCACGCCGCTTTTAGCAATATTCCAGCAATATCACGGAATGGGCTTCACATGTGGGAAACTTAGATCTTCTTGACAAGCGAACGCTTTAACCACTAGGCTAGCCAACCACCACCGTTCCTAAAGAAAATGATATGAATTGATTTACAAAATTGCTTTATTTCTTAAAACACAATGCCGTACATATACCAACCAATCTCTTTTTAAACAAATCCATTTTGTCCATAGTGAATCACAATTAAGTTTCATCTGCATGTGATGAAAACTCCCGCGAACATTTGCTGTCAATGTCAGCAGCAGCACAGGGAGTCAGGGAGTGAGTGAGTGAGTGAGTGAGTATGGCTTTACGCCGCTTTTACGAGTAGTAATATTCCAGCAATATCACGGCGGGGGACACCAAAATGGGCTCCGCACACTGTACCCAGGTGGGGAATCGAACCCGGGTTTTCAGCGAGACGGCTGCACAGGGACCATCTAGATCGGTGATCCGTAAACTGCTAGGGCTGGCTATCGATATAAATCATTGAGATAGATGATTGTTAACTAAATATCGATTGATTATCGATAAATCCCAGAGACGTAACATTGAGCAAATGTGTAAATTAAATGAATATATTTTCATATCACTGGTGAGTGATGACATGTTTTGCATGGATTATTTACAAAACAACTTCCTGAACATAATCAAGAGGCAATACCATAAATATAGTGCTAAATATGTAAATTATGTGAGAAAGTTATAACTTGTTTATATCACAAAACTTAATGTACGATATTATCGATAACAATTTTCATATCGATAATCATTACTAATCTTTCCTATCGACGATATTCCCGATTATTGATTATTTTAGCCAGCCCTATAAACTGCCATTTCTAATATATACATGCCATTTTTGTATTATGCACATGGTGAGTTATTTATAGGTTTCTCTCCATAAGAAAAATAATGACGGTGATGTCAATTTTTGACAATCTAACCACTGAATATGAACAGAATAACAAGCACATATCTGTGACATTTCAGTGAGTAAAAGCACCAACGCCACATCTTCGAATCGACACTGTAGCACAGAAGAAAAGATTCAAAGCACTTCTCCCCATCGTTAATATCCTTCTCAAGTAACCACACAAGTCCCGTTGGTTATAATCAGCTTGTTACTTTTCATGTATCCGATCAACAGTTTATGGTTCATGTAGATTCCCTTGGCTTCGGGAATATCGTAACCCTTCTGACCAACTGACAAGGCTTCAAATATCGTGTACAGCGGCCACACGGGCATCTGTCGACGCCAAACGTCGTCTCGCCACCATTTTGTCCACCATGCCTTCATTGCCTCCTCTTCAAGTTTACCGGGTTTTATGAAGTAGGTCTTCTCTGGGCGTCTCTGTTCCCGTTTCAGGTCCTCGTGAAATGACTGTCTCATGATATCGTCGTGTCTGGTGTCGTCGTTGTTCCTAAAGGCCCAGCTGATGTAGGTGCCGTCGGAAAGTTCAAGGCTGGCGTGAGCTTTCGACTTGACGCCATCTTGGAACATGGTGGGCAGCCAGACGTTCACCTTGATTGACATCTGGAATATAGAAACATTGTTTGTATCAGTGGGTGAGTGAGTGTTGTTTATATTATGTCAGTAATATTTCAGATAATATCAAACCCGTGAATGCCCAGGTTAGAATTAGTCTTCAGCAACCCATGCTTGTCGTAAGAGGCGACTTACGTACGGGATCGGGTGGTCAGGCTCGCTGACTTGGTTGACATGTCATCGTATCCCAATTGCGTAGATCGATGTTCATGCTATTGATGACGGGATTGTCTGGTCCAAACTCGTTTACTTACAAACCGCAGCGATATAGCTGGAATATTGCTTAGTGCGACGTTAAACCAGCCAACCAACCAATCATGCTGTTGATCACTGGATTGTCTGGTCTAGACACGATCATTTACAGACTACCGCCATATATCTGGAATAATGCTGAGTGCGACGTTAAATGTCAATCAAATCAATCAGTCAGATAATATCACGGCAGTGTTTAAACAATGGAGTCTGTGATTATCAGACCAACGGTTGATTGTATGAACGATCTACACCGTTGACGTGACAAGGTACACGCTGGTCTGTAACAGCATATCTTCATGAGTTAGAGGACACGACTTTGACTCAAATGATATCACTAACATGATCCCGATGAGGGTCTAATCAGCAAGAATGGGTGAGTGAACTAGGTTCAGTGCCGTTTTAACAAATCATGGCGTGGAGGCTTAATGTGGGAAGACAGTCCGGAGTGATGCAGGGCGGTGGGGTAGTCTAGTGGTTAAAGCGTTTGCCCGTCACGCTGAAGACTCGGGTTCGATTCCCCACATGGGCACATTGTGTGAAGCCCATTTCTGGTGTCGCCCGCCGTGATATTGCGAGAAAATTGCTAAAAGCGGCGTAAAACTAAACTCACTCACCGAAGTGATCCAGGTCTCTGACGTTTACCACGAGCACATGTATGGTACCGACAAACCTTGAGATTCGAACCCTCGGTCATAGGTTTCCAGCGTGCCCAAGGGCACGAGTCTGGACAGTGACTATCGGTGCGTAGGGAGAAGTAAGTGAGTGTGATTTTACGCTGCAGTTACAAATGTCCCAGCAATCTCGCGGCAGGTGGCATCACAAATCGGCTCCACACAAGGTACACAAGTGGAAAATCGAAACCAGGTCTTTAGTGTGACGCGCAAGCACTTTAACCACGAGGCCACCCCACCGCCAAGACAAACTTAGGCTGGTGATTATAATGACCGTAAGTTAATAATTTACAAGCTTTTAAAACCATCGAAATAGACACCAGCCACGCAACGTAAATCCTGGAATTTCCCTTCGATATTTAGCTGAAGACCTATCTGTATATACATAGGCAGGTTGAAAATAAGTGTTTGTTTTCTAGATTATATATAAGTCATTCGTTGGTCCTGCGATGAATGTACTGAAGTTAATATGTTGTGAAATGTTTTGTTTCTTTTCTTTAGTGAAAACATTTGTATGGTTAGGGAAGTGACCGAAATACATCTTGTCTGACAGAAATTTAACGTCACGAATGTGAATTGGTTCTACAGTCCTAGCATGCCATTCTGTTGAAATAGGGAGCGGGCGGTTGGAATGTGAGATACAATCTATTGTTTTGTCACTACAATGATGGTTGTTTGTCCTTGCGTCAAAAACATTCACTCAGTTATACGTGGCTCATGGTGGTGCAGCCTTACATGCAGTGTGGTAGCAAGTGGTTAAAGTCTTCGCTCGTCACTCCAAAGACCCGGGTTCGATTCCCCACGTGGGTATAATGTATGAAGCCCCCGTGATGTTCTGAAGGCCCCCGTGATATTGCTGGTATAATGCTAAAAACGGCGTAAAACTATACTCACTTACAACGCTATGAACCCTCACGAGCGCCTATACTATTATATTTTGGGACGAATCAGGAGTCCCAACCCACGAATTCTTACACCCTAGTGCAGTCTGGGATGATTACATGCTGCAACCCCGAGTACAAAACAAGATACAACTACAATAGATCCTATACTGTGTTAAATGATTTATAATTTTGATGAAAAATTGACACAATACAAACTGTAAATGGCATCCAAAAACAGATGGTCGCAAAAAACTCCCACCATTCCAGCTATCGGGTAAACGTGGTCTCACAGGGCTGCCATGGACGATGTTTTCGAGAAGGGAGGTATTGCACTTGATTAGCTGAGTCAGTTGACCTCGATATTCTGAGATAAAAGCCTGGCTTGGTGTCTGATTAAATCCAATCAGTTACTAGTAGCTTATCTGTGAACTGCATACCCCAGCCATGCCAGTACGCATGCGCTGCATGTGCAGAGTCACAGTGACTTTCACATTCAGATCTGGGCGTGCGAATACTACTTCTTTAAAATGCAGGTGTCTAGACAAGGGACACATAAAACTAGCAATATTTATACAATAATAATAACAGTTATTGTTATTAGTATAATTATTTTCAGAGATGAAATAAAATGCAGCAGAGACGTTGGATGGTCCTGACACGTGATATTTAGGCCGAAACCTTCACACTGCAGATGAAACTGCAAATTGCCAATCTGACCAATGAGTTATACAATGGCGGTATATTCATCGAATCGGAAGCATGTATACCGAGCTGTAATTATCCTCGATATTCTCATCCAGCGCTGCTCTTTTATGTAAATGTATCATTTAATTATTTTTTGTCCCAGTTGCCAAATTTCAAAATAATACGCGAAATATTTCAAAACCATTACGTGAGAGTGTTGGGGTCAGTTGTTGAAATGCCGTGCTTGCTGTAATTCTAAAACGGAAAAGAACCTACTGACTTAGTTCTATAAATCGGTTATTTGCAGAGCCATTCATCCAACATAAAATACCCACGTGGTATTGAAATACGCATGTGCACACACGAAGGCGTGACGTCTGAAAGATGTCTTACATTACAAAGTAAACAGATTTACTTGCTTACCTCTTCTTGTTTATTTTTATACATGACACCAGCAAGTGCCATACATTTTTTGAGTGCAGACTTGTACATCGAACCCTATTACAGGCCGAAGAAACACAAAAACGTACCAAATTAAACTCGAAGCCATATTAATACATGTTTATCATATTACACTTCCAGACATAGTATGCAAGTCATATTTCTTTATCATAAGTATGTCAGTATTTTTCTATTTACGCCAACTCGTGACAGCTGCTGATAGACAACGTAATCGCAATGCTTTATCTAATAAAAACACAGAGTCCATGGATAAACCGAAATGAGATCGCAATTAATGAATTTGAAATAGAACATTTACAAAATCAAATGAGCTATGTAACACTCGAGCTCCTTGCAATTGTATAGTTTAGGATACCCGTCTATATCATCTGTAGGCAAAAGTACCCTACCTTGCAATTGTATAGTTTAGGATACCCGTCAATATCTGTAGGCAAAAGTACCCTACCTTCAATCACATGTTACACAGTTTACACAAACGTCAATAAGCCGGTTCACAGGCTGCGATCACTGCAAGACCCCATTTCACATTAAGGTGTATTTGCCAAGCATGGTGCCAACCTAATGGCAGAAAGATGAACCCAAGCGCGCAGCTTACTCACCGTTGCTGTGGTGTGTCTTGAAGCTTAAGTAGGTCAGATCAGGTAGTCACACAATACAGCGTCATTTCATATTATATAGGTGCTGGGCATATATAAACACAGTCCACTCTTTTTAAATACACGCTGTGTATCGCATGCCTACATTCCTTAGCACAATGGACAGGCTTGTGTTGAGAGCAAGTACTTTCTGCGTTCAGTGCGCAAGACACGCTCGCTGAACTGTGACTTGCTAATAATAGACTGAAAAAGTAAGTACTGAAGAAAGGTCGAGTTTGTTATAGACAGGAGACGATATAAGCACTCTGTCACTTATCCCAGTACTTGAAACATGTTCAGATATAAAGTTAAACCCCGTTACTACGGACAGTGTCTTTTATAGACAAGGACATGATACATGCTACGTAAAAAGTTCACGTATTAACTCGAAGCTTGTTAATCTGTATTGTCGCGTTCAATGAAATTGTCCGTAATAATCGATGGTCGTATTAGCGAATCTTTGTTACCAGTGTCCGGAATGACAAGGTGTTAATGTACACACATTTTGTTATGAAATACATGATGTGATCAATACGCACACGCATATGCTAATATTAATGAAACTGCCCTGTACGAACCCATGAGTCCAGAAACTGTCTTACTGATTGTTACTGCAGGAGTCTTTATATACACGTATAGCTAAAGCAAAATTCCTAAGGACTCCATGTACACGTATATAGCTAAAGCAACATTCCTAAGGACTCCATGTACACGTATATAGCTAAAGCAACATTCCTAATGACGCCATATGCACGTATAGCTAAAGGAACATTCCTAATGACGCCATATACACGTATAGCTAAAGGAACATTCCTAATGACGCCATATACACGTATATACACGTATAGCTAAAGGAACATTCCTAATGGCTCCATATACACGTATATAAAGGAACATTCCTAATGACTCCATATACACGTATAGCTAAAGGAACATTCCTAATGACTCCATATACGTATAGCACGTATAGCTAAAGGAACATTCCTAATGACTCCATATACACGTATAGCTAAAGGCAACATTCCTAATGACGCCATATACACGTATAGCTAAAGGAACATTCCTAATGACTCCATATACACGTATAGCTAAAGGAACATTCCTGATGACTCCATATACATTGTATAGCTAAAGGAACATTCCTATACACGTATATGACTCCATATGACTCCATATACACACGCATGTATAAGCTAAAGCAACATTCCTAATGACTCCATATACACGTATAGCTAAAGGAACATTCCTAATGACGCCATATACACGTATAGCTATAGCTAGCTAAAAGGAACATTCCTAATGACGCCACGTATATACATGCACAATGACGCCATATACACGTATAGCTAAAGCAACATTCCTGATGACTCCATAGACATGTATAGCTAAAGGAACATTCCTGATGGCTCCACATACATTTATAGCTAAAGGAACATTCCTAATGGTTCCATATACACGTATAGGTGAAGCATCATTCCCAATGGCTCCATATCCACGTGTAGCGAAAGTAACATTCCTAATGGCTCCATATACATATATAGCTTAAGGAATATTCCTAATGACTCCATATACATATAAAGCTAAAGCAACATTCCTAATGGCTCCATTTACACGTATATAAGTAAAGCAATATTCCTAATGACGCCATATGCACGTATAGCTAAAGGAACATTCCTGATGACATTCCTGATAATTCACATTGTACGTGCCTCTCCATAAAAATCATCATTACACTCCTCACCCCAACCCTTCACTGCCGGCCATAAATTATGAGTGAGTGAGTGAGTATGGTTTTACGCCGCTTTTAGCAATATACCAGCGAAAACGGAGGGGAAGACCAGAAATCGGCTTCACACATTGTACCCATGTGGGGAATCGAACCCGGGTCTTCGGCGTAACGACAGGACGCTTTAACCATTAGGCTACCCCACCGCCCCCATGAATTATGAACGGTCCCTAAGAACGTTATAATAGTTCCGGGCAAAAGTGTACTTCGTTACACAAAACATGGGGGTAGAGCGAACTGTATTTCTTTTCTAAGATGCCAAATGTAATACTTAAAGCGATAAATCTAAAGCAGGAAACAAAAGCGATGGTGTCGGTGACCTAAATTAACAATCCTCGTTCAGGGCTAACTGGCGCGCTGTTCTATTGACGTGTCTGCCCCCTACGTTAGGCGCACGCTACCAGAACACAAATGATAAACAGTTTGATGACGGTTTACGTTCGGGTTGAATATCTTCTCTAACTTATTTCAATTACTATCTGTGATTAACGTAAACCATATGGGCAATATGAACGACGCATTTCAACTACCAACGTAAGTTTACTTCAGTACATGGCGATAACGCTGACTAGTCACGCGACATTCCACGGCTGATGCATTGTGAGAATGTAAACATTGCGAACATTGTCGTGTCGCCATTTAATTGTGATTCGAACTGAGACATTTATCCGTAGAAAAATGTTAAACGTAATGTTTCCACCAGTGATGTTAGCCGAGTGAAACAACTGCAAAGGGCGTGCTTCGAAATAGTTTTCTTTACGAGGCTGTACGAGGCGATGACAACTGACATGCATCGTGACGTCGGTTACCAAGGGTACGTTTCATTACGAGGGACAGACAATGGCATAGTGACGTCAGTGCAGTGTGACGAAATGCGAAAAGTGCGTCTTTTAGCGAAACATCTTAGAATTTACATCATTTGCCTACGTTTGCATTGTGTGGTAAAAATATTTTTTTTTACGGATGATCAACGATAAAGGACCGCAAAATTGAAAACAGAGTGGCTTCATCGTCTAATTCCGTCATCACAAAGATATACTGAATACAATAATTTGAACAAAGAATGACAACTTTGACGTTTCTTCGTCGTAAGTAGGTATAATTCGTTTCATTATCCTTAATGGGGACCTTTCATTTGTTGGGGTGTGTTTTAATGAGAACTATACAACGTCCCATACTGATACTTGGCTATTGGAACAGCGCCATTTTGGAAGCCAGGCAACCTTTGGAGGGTGTACGGTAAATTAAAACCGTGTCCATGTTTCGAATGTATTCAGCTCCTGAAGCCGTGGGTCATCTACGTGGAGACCACGCGTGTTCAAACAACGACATACACCAGTATGACGTGTTGATGACGTTGAACCATGGAACCCACCTAGCTATTTCTTTGTTCGCTTGTAACTAGCCAGATGAAAATGACTTTCAGAAATTCCACAATTCCATTGTGTACGTTATAGTGTTCTAATTCCATGGATCATTCTTTAAGGCACACGCATTGCGTATGAGTGAGGGAGTTGGGTTTTACGCCGCTATTAGCAATATTCCAGCAATATCACGGCGGGAGACACCAGAAATGGGCTTCACGCATTGTACCCATGTGGGAATAGAACCCGGGCCGTCGGCGTGACGAGCCAACGCTTTAACCACTTGGCTACCTCACCGCCCCGTATTGCGTGAGTGCAGTCGGGGCGCACGAAAAGTCAACAGCTGGCTGAAATAGACTTTGCCTGAAACCAGAGACGATACCGGTTTTCAGCAGGCTCTGTTATCCAGCGTTAATCATTTTGTGATACTGGAATGGAGATAAAATACGCTGGGTAAACGCGAATGGGTACAAATTGCCATGTGACCTGTGTTTGGAAAGTGGGAGAAGATTGTTTTCTGATGCTGTGGGCATGCTTGTTATTACGTCAGTTTATCAGTGTATTTACGTGAGGAATTTATTTCAATGCTAGGTAATATACGTGAATATATTCTAACTACACCATGAAAGTCAATAACCCCATTAATATCAGACCGCCTCCGTGGTGTAGTGGTTTGAGCGTCCGGCCGGAGAGCGGAAGGTCGCGGGTTCGATCCCCGGCCGCGTCATACCAAAAGACGTTAAAATATGGTACTTGATGGTCCCTGTTTGGTGCTCTGCAATACGGGTACAGGGACTTGTCGGCTCGGAGTCAGTATAATGTGTCTGAGAGGGGTATTCATGCTTAACTGCGGCATGGAATCTCAATGAGCTAGCACTATAAAACCAGCTTAAGTCTGGGCTGGTACAAGCAGCCAAACATACATGCTCATGCACGTTGTCATATGAGCGAAATATTCTCAAGTACGACGTTAAACCCAATTTCATTTCACCTCACATCACATCCCCCCATGAGTATCATGTCGACCCCGAGGCAAGGTCTATGGCTTGAGCAGAGCACCATGCCAAGGAAAGATTAAACACATCACACCAGACACTTTTTAGATTTTCACTTGCGCATGGCAAGAAGAATTGAAGTTAAACTCTCGTGAACGCTATCATGTGTACTTTCCAACGTGAAAATGAATGAACGAACGTTGTATAAATGCATTCAGCAACATCGCAGCCACGTAAATTGCAAATCTGTAACGAGTAATTAAGTGGTCGATAGCATGAGCAACGGTCCACGTCGTCATGTCTTACGACGGCTCACAACCTGACCACCCAATCCTCTTTGAGGCAACCAACCCCCTTTTGGTACGCCATATTCTGGGGTCTATCAGGGACTCAGAAGGGTGAATATATAACGTAATATTTAATACGCTGAATCAACAATCGTTGGGTAAGTAAACATTTCCTTTACGTTTTATTCTTTAAAATATTTTTTCTAGGAACTTAAGCGGGTTAAGTTGTTTTCGGGACTTGATGGTGAGCAAATGAGACTCGGACAAAATAAATCAGATTGTATTTGGGAGTCAGGGAAGGGTGTAGAAGGTAGACTGTGTGGCTCGACTTGTTTGACAGGTCATCCCAACTGCGAAGATCGATGCTCATGTTGTTGATCCCTGGATTGTCTGGTCCAGACTAGATTATTTACAGACCGACGCTCCAAAGGTGGAATGTTGCTGAGTGCAGCATTAAACAACAAACAAATCTTTCTTGTCGACTAAGAATCAAGCATAGCAGATTCTTTGTCTCTGAATCCTTGTGGGCGCAAGACTCAACCTCAGAAGTGAGTGAGTGAGTGAGTTTAATTGTATGCCCCTTTTAGCAATATTCAAGCAATAACACATCGGGGGACACCAGAAATGGGCTCCACACATTCTACCCACATGGGGATTCGAACCTGGGTCTTCGGGGACACCAGAAATGGGCTTCACACATTCTACCCACGTGGGGATTCGAACCTGGGTCTTTGGGGACACCAGAAATGGGCTTCACACATTCTACCCACGTGGGGATTCGAACCTGGGTCTTCCGGGTGCGGACCGAGCGCTTAAACCACTAGGATACCCCACTCCTCCGCCTCAGGAGTACCGTGATGCATGGCCCAACTCTTTATTTCACTTGTTAACCAGTCAGGCATGGCGTTTAGTCAAGAGATATTTCTACTGAGTCAGCAACAATAGAAAGACATTAGAGCTTCTTGTTCTTGTTGTTTAACCCAGAACTCGGCATTATTCCAGGTATATAGCGTCGGTCTGTAAATAATTGAATCTGAACCTGACAATCCAGTTATCAACATCATTCTCAGGGGTGGAAATAACTTTAAAATTGATGTACTCCGGTACAGTGGCACATGTAAAGTCGCTTTCCCTGATAAATTTTCCACTATACCGACCGTTTTCTTGCTGATGTTTTAAATAAACAATATAATTAACATTGGAAAGTCAATTGGACAAGGGTACAGTGTGATATACAAATTTGCTTGCCTGACAGAAAAAACACTGGACTCGGACGTCAGGCAATGGGTTATTTCCATCCCTGATTCTATGCAAATGGGATATGATGACATGTGTCAACCAAGTCAGCAAGCCTGACCACCGGATTCTTTTAGTCGCCTCATATGACAAGCATGGGTTACAGAAGACCAATTCTAACTCAGATCTTCACGGGTATTAGAATTGGTCTTCAGTAACCCATGCTTTCTGGAAGCGGTGACCAAGGTAAAGGCTCCTGTACTGGTTGATGCATGTCATCGTATCCCAATTGCACCGATCAATACTCATGGTGTCAGCCACGAGAATATTGCTGAGTAAACAACAAACAGTAAACATGACACAAAGACTATTCTGAAATAGATTTAATTGTTTAGTCATACCATCAATGGTATGCATGAAGATAACAAACACCTCCAGCAAGACAAGACAGCACAAACTTGTAAGAGTTAATGATTGAGTGAGTTGAGTTCAAACCTCTTTGAGCAATAATAGTTAATGTCATAAATATGTACAATTTTGATTAAATGCACAAGTACTGTTATGGTGCTGACGAACCTATATTTAGGATGAATCTCAGGTTTGAACAGTGTTTCCTTGCTAAGCTAAGGGAGATAATTCTGCACAACTAATCTCTGAGGAAATGTGATGTAGGAATTTCTGTGAGAGAAACAGCAGCAAAACAACTGTAAATATATCCAAAGATTTCTAAAAACATAAAATCTGTATCTACAGATTACCACCTGAAACAAACAAATGCCTTCAATGGTGACTGACAAAAGCCAGCAAAACAGACATCACAAACATAAAATGTATATATTTGCAAAAATAGAAATAACAATATCAATAGATTTCTTTGCTGTTCATACCATAACAAGTCATGTAAACCAAACTGCCATGCATCAGATTGGAAGACAAATGCAATGAACAGATATCACTTATTGAAGATGGATATAGGCATATCTACAATTTAAAGTTCTACAAAAATAGAAATAAAAAGCTATGATTCACACAATTTAAAAGTGTATATGTCAAACATAAATACCTGATTGAGCAAAAATCCCTGAAAATTCTCTATTATTATGGTTCAAAGGACTGTGTTGTATGAACCTCTTCTCAAAGATCAATATCTCGCTTACTGTATAAATAACAAGTATCTGTGCGTTACATTTGGTAACGCTTGGTAACGTTAGTGCTGCCAAAACATTCAAAATCTATGTTCCTCTAAAGTTCCATTCCTATCTTCCACTACCATGCAAAATCATATTTTCAACATAATCAGTTCCTCTACAGTGTGTGTCTCCAATATGTTATTTTGTATCGGCAAGATAATTAAGTAGATCTTTCAGAGTCCGAATTGTTATTTTTTCCACCCCCTTATCAATCTTTGAAGCACTTTCATCTTTAGCATCTCCGGCTGTAACTCTCAAAACTTGTTTTCTTTCTTTTTGTTTCAGCATTTTGCGAGCCTCTTCCAGCAGCATGTCCAGATTGTCATTTGGTTGTCTGGTGATCTTTCTCTTCAACTCCTGAGCTGCCTTCTGATCTTCTTCTTCATCCTTCTTCACCTCCTCAAGCAGTTCCCTCAGAAGTTGTTGCTGTTCCTTCTCCTTATCCAATTTCCTCTGCTGGTTATTCTGCTTCATCAACCTTCCATCCAACTGAAGTCTGCGTCTCATCTCGTCCAAAACATCCTCAAGATCATCTTCAGTCATCTCAGCTTCTGAGGTCCTCCTATAGCTCTTAGAACTTGTACCCAATTCCTTTTCCATTGCATCAACCAGTTCATCCAAGACGCCATCATCAAGTGTCTGGTCAGGGTCATATGACTTCTTGACTTCTGTAAGGTAATCTCCTCGGTTCCAATCACTGGAGTGTTCATTTTCCAAGTTTCTTTTATCTGCTGACTCTACAGCCCTGCCTGAAGTTGCACTGCCCACTTGGGAGTTCTTTAAAGCTCTTATAAGGTCTTCCACAAACTTTGAATCAGCCTGCCCATCAGACTTCTTCTTCATAGGTATTGACTGATATGGTGTAAGAACAACTTCTTTAGTCCTGGCCTGTTCTTTGTCCATGGCATTTTTCACCTGTTTCCGAGTAGGAACATAGGTTTTATTTGTTTCTTCAAAGGTGGAACTCATCCTGTTGCCTCTTGAATCTCCAGTGCCATAGAGAATGAGACTCCACTCTTCCAGCTCACCCTCATTGTTCCTTGTCAGTTCCTGGGGATTGTCTGCCACATACAACTGCCATTTGCCTTCAGGGTTCTCAGACCAGGAGTGGACGGTCATGAAGGTGAAATCAATTCCCTTTTGCCTGTCATCGTGGGGACGTGGCGACAAGATCTGTGACTTGGTGCCAGATGGGGACACAAGGGTCATCTGTATGTCACCACGGCGACTGTGCTGCAGTTTGATCTTCACCTGGACATGTTCAAGGTTATGGATTCTGTTCTTTTCTCCCTTGCAGCCAGTTACCTCAACCTCATCCATAATCTTACTCCTCGCTGTAATCTTTCTGAAATACACAACAACCAAGGTTCATGCAATCACATGTCTTGTACCAGATTTTATACAAAATGGGTTCAAATCTGGCATAACAAAAGTGGGTATATTTGTTTGTCTGTTGTTAACACACTATTCAGCTATATTCCAGCTAAATTGCAGTGATTTGTAAAAAATCAAATTTTGACTAGAAATTCCGGTTATCGATATCATGACCATTGTTCTGTGCAATTTGGCTACAATGACAAGCATCAGCCAAGTATTACCACACAATCCCTTCTGTCACCTCTTATGACATGCATGGGTTGCTGAAGACCAATTCATACCAAGATCTTCATGGGGGCTTCTGAGAAGTAATGCACAGACATTTCACTATGAAATTATATAAACTTAAAAATTAGCATTATAAACAGTTTTTAGAGTAGATATATATGAATGAATGAACGAACGAACGAATGAATGAACTAACGAATGAGCTGACGAGCAATGAATGAGCGAACGAACGAACGAACGAACGAGCGAACGAACGAACGAACGAACGAATGAATGGCTACTCACTTATTGACATTCTGCTGGCGGTATCTACATATGTGCTGCTCTGGTACTGTCACCCAATTCTGAGCCAGCTTCACCATCCGACTGGCATCCAGGACACCGAAACCAAACTTGTGACTGACATGCAGGCCGGCGCCATTAACCACCCAGCTGCGGTCCTCGCTGGGGATGCGTGAGCTGTGCACCACAATGTGCTGGACGTCACGCCAGGTAAGGGACGGACTGGAAGGGAATAACAGAGGACACTAAATTGATGGACGGGTGGTGGGGTAGTGCATTGGTTGAAGTGATCATTCAAAGTGGCTGAGGTTTTGGTTCATACTTGTTAAAACCTTTTGGTGCCTCTCTAAATGACAGTACTGGATCATTTCCAGGTATACAACATCAATACCAGAGAATATCCAGTCTGGATTGTCCCCCAAAACTTCAAAAAACTAGCTGTGAATATTCTATTTATGGATGGCAGAGTAAAAGCCAGCTCAATATAACACTCATTGATGTAAAAGGCTTAAAACAAGAAACATTTACATCATACATTTTCATCATAGCTGCTACAAGAGTTAATGTTCATGTCACCATCTCATCCTTCTGGGTACCCATCTGCTGCATGGTGACCAGAGCGAATTTCTAATGAATTTAAAAGACCTTCAGAGGATAATATGTAAAGCCTTTTAACTCTCAGGAAGCAATCTACTTTTGAACCATCACCCATCCATTTACTGTTTGCCATGTGGATTATGACATGCACAGAATCACATGATACTAAATAGGGCTGCGCAATATAACCGGTATTTACCGGTTCAGACATGAAAAAGATACGTATTGCGATACGCTGATCGAAAAATGGTATTTTGACATGCATTCGGAAAACTTCGTAACACTCGGAAATCTTCGGATATTTCCGTTTTTTAAATTGTTCCTTTCCTTGTTTCATTTGTGCCAAACATTATTTACTTTTATATTTTGCCATGATTAAAAGTTTTTTTAAAGCTTAATCAAGCATTGTGATTTCGTTGTGTCTTGCTATAGAAATCAAGCATTAACTCAATTATAAGTAGTTTGTTTTGTTAAAAATATTTCTTGCAATATATTGCAATACATATCGCAATACATGCTTTCGCATCGCAATATATCGCAATACGACAATTCCCTGCAATACCCACCCCTAATGCTAAACAACTACAAGGGTAGAGCATGACAGGATTTAAAAACATTACAAAATACAGCAAACTCCATCTCCAACGAAAATACACATAATGAACTGTTTGAGATAACGAACAGTGTCCCCGTTCGAGAAAGCGATCATAGCGCTATAACAGTCGTAAATCTATGTCAGTAAGTGGATGAGTGAGTGAGTGAGTTTAGTTTTACGCCACTTTAAGCAATATTCCAGCAATAACACATCGGGGGGACACCAGAAATGGGCTTCACACATTGTACCCATTTGAGGAATCACTAGGCTATGTTAAACTATGGAGATCACCTTAGCCCAATGACCACTTCAAGGAACAGTTGCTTGATGTTAAGGTCCCTGACTGCTGTATCCTGTAGGAGAAATGAGTGTCACGAACTACAGTTATAACATCACTTTTAGGTCATTATAACAGTAGTTCAGTACATCACCAATTGAAGTTATGGAAGATATACTTCTGGAAGCCAGTACTGGACGATAAACTCACTTTGCCTGGAGGGCCAGCGCCACACATCCAGCTGCCAGAGGTGCTGCGCTGGACGTTCCCTGAAAGTTCTCGATACACCCACCATTTATGTCCGTCGTTACCTGCAACAAGGGACAAATTTACTTTCAAGCTTTCAATTCTATAGATCTTCCAACAACATGTAACAGATCTTCTTGTATCTTCATTTTATTTATGGATCTTGTTAGCACAAACATTAGGGTAGAGTATTTAACAGATCTGTTAACTTATCTCAGCTTGAATGCTAGAAATCACACGCATCTTGAAACAATGACAGAAGACTGTGTTACTAATATTCATAACTATAATAATAAATATTCATAACTACCTACCAGAGCTGGGACGGGTCCAAATTTCCTACCCAGGTACCCCACCCCCTATTACCCTACCCTGATACTCGTTATGTTAATTCCTGACATCAAGTTTGTAAGAAATTGCAATATATTCTTCAGCTCGGAGGCTGATTTAATTTCATGTTTTTCTTGGAAATCTTAACCATGTATTATCTTCAAAAGAAGTGACTGTAATTATGTCTAAATCTTCAAAGACAATACCAGGTGCACAGCAAGCCAGTTTTTTCGTGTAAGCCCAATAGGTTGGGATTCGCTATTTAGAGAGTATTGAGGGCTTGCCCATCCTTTTTAGCGTTCAGTAACCATTATGTGTAAGCACTGGCTTTTTTTTATAATGGTAGTTTACTATGCCCCTGAATACAACAATTAATCATAAAGAATAACTTATTACATTGTTTTTTTAATCTATTGGTCACAAGATCATAACGGGTCCGGGTATTGAGATGGGTACCTGGATCCAACTCATTACCCACCCGTCCCGGGTATCAGGGTTACCCATCCCAGCCCTACTACCTACACTATCATTCAACACCCAATTTGTCATTCCCTTGTCACACCTAATAGCGTTACAATCAGTTCCAAATACTGCTGACACAAGCAAACGTCACCTGAATACACCATGTTGACAACAGTCACTCACAGTTCTGCATCAGAGTTATCTCCCTTGCACCAGCCATCCAAGACAACAACTCCCCCCAAAGGGTTCACACATACTGAGTGGTGTTATCCATTGAATCTTATTCATGCTAGGATGGACATTATATTCATAGTTTAATTGTAACATAATTATTAAAAGCTGCAAAACCCTTTCCTGGTTTTACTGTATATTAAAATTTTCACATTTCATTGCTAGGGGAGGGGATGATGATTTTCTTGGAGGAGAATGTACAATGTGAATGATCCCCTCTAAAATTTATGCACAAAGTAAGTGACCTCTCTGCATGTCATGTGCAAAATCAATTACCCCCCTCCCCCCCTTCCCATAATTTTTAAGCATCAACTGTATTCACTTTGACTTTCCAATAGCTGAATACATCCAAACACTGCAAACTTTGACCTTCCACACCCAAACAAAACCCACCCAATTTGAGCTTCTACTAATCCACCAAAACTGTTATTAACTTTGGCCTTCTAATATCTGAATACATCCAAATTATATTCATTCTGATCGACCTTCCATTATGTGAATATATCCAAAGTGTACTCACCACCTTAAGCTTTGTAATTCCCTTGTCCTTCTCCTCCCCCTTGAACACCTCACCACCAGAGGGCACCACCGCCAGAGTAGAGGAGCAGATCTCCATGAAATATGGCCGGTCCCCTTTGTCGCTCACAGAACCGAAGGACATGCTCTCAATGCTGGACACATAGCCGTCTGCACCGCAGTCGTCCTCGTACAAGCCGCCATTGCCAGTAGCCCAGACATAGATGCTGCCAAGACCTCCACGACCCTACAGCAGGAGGGGAACATCTTCTAAGCATGGTATAAATGATGCCAGTATTTCTGCACCCGCCTTCCAAACACTAGTGCTGCTCAGAGTATGTACACACCAGGACAAAAATATATACCCTCCTAATTGTAAATAACATATTTTCCTGTATCCTTTAGATATATCTACATAAGACATCTCATTTTGATAAACGACTGGTCCAGTGAATGAGTGAGTGAGTGACTATTTCCACAATTTTTTATCATGGCGGGGGAGACCAGAAATGGGCTTCACTTATGAATTTGTACCCTGAGACATGGGTAATCAAATCCGGGTCTTGAGCGTGACAAGCAAATGCTTTAACCACTAGACTACACCACCACCCCTCACAGGTGAGTAATGTAGATGTCTCTGTGTCTCATGATAACGATATGTGAGGTATTGTTTTCATGTGAGTTAAGATTTTAAATCGTGTCAGTAATATTTCAGTCATACAGCGACTAGGCTTGCAGGTTTTTGAATTTGAAAAGTAAAACATACGTTTTACAGTGTTACTGTTTAAACAGCCTTTCAATGTACATCAAATGTTCATTTTTGACAATTTGACAATTTTTACAACATGAAGATTCTATGATATGTATCAAACCTGCACATTAACTTGTCACCAACAGTTTAAAATTCCACTGAATAACCATAGCATTTGACAAAATGGTGTTCGATCTTACATCTCATCGTTTCAGTAGTCAGTAGAACGCACACACCAAGTTTAGTTTTGTTACCAACTGTTGATTCACTGAACAGCCATAGAATGTGACAAAAAGGTGGTTAAAGGTGACAATTCTTGCCTTTTTGTGTCTCACTTCTAAATGGCATTCAAAGACTCCATAAAGGTGGTTTACTGAGTCTTACCTCTGGACTGACACTTAGTCTCTGACTTTTACCACTTTTAACAGTGATTGATAGTTTGTTGTTTATTGTATCACCTGTATGTTGTTTTAGTTTGCCAAACACAACAATTTTCCATATATATGATGGAAGGGTCTATATCCCCGGGGCAGTGGGATTATACTGGTGGTTGAAGCATACATGTGTCACACCAAGACCTAAGTTTGACTTTTGGTTAGTGAGAGAGTGGGGTTGTATGCTGCCTTTAGCAATATTCCAGCAATATCACGGCGGGGGACACCCGAAATGGGCTTCACACATTGCACCCATGTGGGGAATCGAACCCGGGTCTTCTGCGTGATGAGCAAACGCTTGAACCACTAGGCTCTACCCCACCACCCTGACTTTTGGTGTCACTAGCCATGATATTGCAATAATATTGCTAAAAGCAGAGCAAGATGATACTCACCCTAACTCTTGTCTTTGAATAAACCTACCTAAAGTTTACAAAAATGTGAAACTTGGGGATACAGTTTAATACCACAGCTAGTGACTCTGCACCTATATGATGGCTGTGTGTACATGAGGACAACTTGATGGAACCATAATTGATCTCATCAACACTGATCAACATCAAGTCACGGCCAGAATAAAATTTGTCTGGCCTTATGGATGACATGAAATCAACTAAACAATCTTTAGCTTTATACATGATCTGTTAAGTCACCTCATACGTCAAGCATAGTTCTGAATCCCTGTAGGGGCTGTCATTTAAATCTTACATGAAAACCTCACAGTAATCTTTTTGACTGACGTGTGATTTCCAGAGGAAGTGCAAGAAGTGCTAAGACTTAACCACAGCTGTTGTTATTGAACATACAGTCACCTCTCATTGTAACAGATCTCATGGTGACCTGGGGAAATAAAAGTTATCTGGGGCACAAGATATCCACCAAAATGGATTTTTGAAAACCAAAGAGAAATGTTAGGGGAATTAAGCAGTAATCAAGTAATTATTTCTTCCATAATGTTAATGACCATATGATATTGTAACAAACAATAAAGTATGTGTATGATTTAAAGGGGAATACTAGATAATTTCAATAATTTGCTGGGTGGAAGATAAAGTCATCAGAATCATGTATCCCTATTTTTAATTAAAAAATATGGTTATTTATGTTTTAATCGCGAAAACAGTTTCTGTTATCTGAGCTTCGGCCATTATGAATATTCCGCTGGAACTCACGTGACCTTTCCTCTCTGATGTCATATGTGACTAGAGTCCGCCATATTGCCAAAGACCAAGCGCTACAGTAATACAAATCGTGTTGTTTCTGTCGTTTTTATAAATGGTACGATGGTGTATGGTTGCTTGGGGATGCACGGCATCATCGAACAATGGATAGAGCCTCCATTTCTTTCGTTTTCAAGTAAAAAGACAGATTTAGGCAGGTTTTTGTCAACTTTGATATTATGTTCTTCATATAAAAGTAATATATATACTGAACATCATTGAAAACGCACCACCTGTAAATTTTGTAATAGGATTGTTTTGAGAGTGAAAATGAACGTTGGAAATGTTGTTAATAACACGAAAGACAATAAATAATGCTGTACAGTAAAGAACGGATTGCCCGAACACATCATGGAACACATCACATGACAACAACAAAATTCAAGCAAAACACACACGAAAAGCACAAATTGCATGCGTAAAACATGCTGATTTAAGGGGTATAAATGACAGTCGACAAAAAAACGTTCTCATTTTAGCTGTACCTCCGCAAGTAAAGTTTATTTTGCAATGCCAAGATTGTCACCAGAGGAACGAGAACAGGCGTTGGGCATATGTTGCAGGTTGGCACATCAAGCAGGATTATTGCCAGATGATTTGGTTGCCATCATTCCACAATCATAAGACTTTCCAACAGGTACCAACAAACAGGAACCACCAGGGACCGCCAACGTCCTGGCCAGGCACGTGTTACCACCCCATACCAAGATCGAGACATTGTTCGGCGCCATATTCGGGATCGTACGCTGCTGGCTACCAGAACCGCCAAGGCTGTCCAAGGCAGACGTGGTTTGATCAGTGCTTCCACCGTCTGACGCCATCTCCGTGCGGCAGGATTACTGTGTCGACGCCCTTACGTTGGACCCATCCTGACTGATAGACATCGCCGTGAACGCCGACGATGGGCTGAACAGCATCGTTTGTTGTTGTTACAACGTAGGCATGGTGTTGTGTTCTCTGACAAGTCACGTTTTCACTTGCAAAATGCTAACGGGCATCTATGGGTATGGCGTCGACGGGGAGACATTACCATCAGGACTGTGTTGTGCAAACAGATCGGTGGGGTGGAGACAGCATAATGATGTGGGGAGGGATCAGTTATCATCACAAAACCGCTCTGGTAGTTTGTCGTGGCAGAGTGAATGCCCTTTACTACCGTGACACCATTCTTCAGAACAATGTTGTTCCCTTCTTTAACCAACATCAAGATCTGCACACATTCCAGCAGGACAATGCTCGAGCGCACACAGCACGTGTTGCAACACAGTTTCTGGCAAACAACAACATTCCTCTCCTTCCATGGCCTGCATTGTCACCAGATTTGTCTCCCATTGAACACTTGTGGGATTACATCGGCCAACGCCTCTCACGTCGCCCACAGATCAACAACCTTGAGGAACTTGAGAATGCCTTGCAACAAGAGTGGAATGCATTGCCTCAAAACATTATTCAGAGACTTATCAGTTCAATGAGGCAACATTGCACAGCTTGTGTTGCTGCTAACGGTGGTCATACACGTTACTGACTTTCCAATTTGACTCCATCTTTCTTTCATGGTCAGCTGAATTAAAACTTCACTGTTTTGCTGGATTGGTTCTTGTTTCATTTCTTTACCAATCATTGGACTACAAAAGTATGTAAAATTTATACCGATTGCTCATTTATGCTCTTGGAAATCCAAACTAATACAGGTGGTGCGTTTTCAATGACAGTTCAGTATATATAGTTATGAGTTTACTAATGGAACATTGATCAGAAATATTACTTCCTAATAACTTTTATATGAAGAACATAATATCAAAGTTAACAAAAACTATGCAGTTATGGTATATATTTAATCATTTCAAATAAATTTGAGCAAATTAGGATCAATGACCAAATTTGCTGGGGCATTTTGTAGCTGGGGCAGTTCGACTTGTACCCATTAGATATACATTATCAGTAAGAGATTTCTCATAATCTTGAAAATGTTTCGCTATAACGTTCGTTCCGGTTTGGAGTCATAAATGCAGCAGTCAACCCAAAAAGTTCCTGAATACAAAGGCAAATCATGAAGTGCTAGTTACATTCATTGTTTTCCATTTTGTCCAATTACGCACGTCGGCATCAGACTCGCTATTTATCAGTAGTGTTTGCTGTGAAAGTTGTTCTGTATTCTCATTGGCTGACAGATGTCATTCTAAGCTATGGCCAAGCAACATAACTATTTACATAAGCAAAATCTAAGGGAACATACACTGTCCTGACTAGTATTTTATAATTCACCAGTTTTCGGGGAATAACGTATTAAGTTCTGCGTCACTTATATTATCTCTACTTGACTAGGCTGGGATATTGTATGGAAACTTGATACGTTATTAATGGGGACTATGATCCTAATTTTAATCAACAAAATAATTCCAGTGTAATTTTTGTAGCAGACAATTTCTATTTTTCCCCGTCTGAAGCATAATCCTTTTTTTTTAAATCCCAGACACCCTGCAGTCACCCATTTGACACTAAAGGAACTGCAATCACATTTCACAAAAATATTTTCTTAGGGACTGGTCATATATTTATAGGGGTGGGTGTGCTTGTTGGACTGTATCACATGTTGCTGACAAATAATATTCCTGATAAATTATATGGTATACTTTTAATATTATTTTAACATCAAGCGGTGCCTCGGTTTCGCTTGATTATTCTTCTGCATTTTCACTGGAATATTGTTTTGCAAGACGAAAAATCGGATCGTAATTGATCCGGTCTAACATTCATTTCTAAATGACATCAGGAACCCCTTTTATTGCTTCAGAATCCATGGACTCTGTTAAGTTGTGAGGTCAAATCAAAGGGGAAGCCA